TTTAATCTGCTCGGAAATTCACCATAAAACATGGCATATTGTTGCCTGTATGGTTTACTTGACTAATAGCCATATATTTTATTAAGTGATATTGTGTTATCTACTGATCTATGAAGTAACCAAACCTACTGTGTACCTAAAAATCCACTTATAACCACTATATTAATACAGCAGAAAAAGATATGATGAACCCGAATTCATACTTAAATAAATAAATGGTAAATGAGCATACAGTACTAAAACAATGCAATAAACATTAACTAAACAACAGAAAATGAAACACAAAACACCCCAATGAACATAATACAGAGAAAATGATGGCATTATTTTTATTTTTGGGTGACTTGCTCCTTTAACTCTGTAAAAAAATGTATCTCTGTGTGCGTGTGTGTGTGTGTACTCTAGTATTTGGTATGGAGACCAAATATCCCCAAAAGGATAGTAATTTACTACATTTTAACCTTGTGGGGAAATCTTGTTGGTCCCATTGAGAAAAACAGCTTACAAATCATACAAAATTAAGTTTTGGAACATCTAAAGCTTCCTGTGATGTATAAAAATCCTTACGTCAATGGAGAGTCCCCATGGAAATCAGTGTGTGTGTGTGTTTGTGCATGTGTGTATGGAGGTGTTTCATTCTTTGCCATCTCACCTGGCTGTATTTGAAATCAGCAGTTTGAAGCCGGCATAGGCAAAGTGAGGGGAAGATAAAAGCAATGACTTTTTTTTAACTAGAAAGAGAAACTTTACGAGAGCACTGTGAGCGATTTGATGCATTTATATCCTTGAAATAATATAAAAGAGTAGAATCGGCTATATCTCACCAAATGGCATCAACAAACAAAGATGTATGATTGGGACTGCAGCTATAATAATGATGATGATGATGAGAAGCATGCAGCCGATAGCTGTGTTGCTAATCAGGCTCCCGCTGAACTAGGTCAAGTGCCACTATCCATGATGTAACCAAACCCCTACACTGAACCATCTCCATAGTTACCCAGCGCAAGCACAGAGGGGTTTTGACTGAAGTGGAAAAGAGATAAAAGGAAAACAATGACATTAACAAAGGACAGGCAATGCAAATCTAGAAATGATGTACTCGTAAGTGTCAGTAAGTGTCAGGATTTAAATTCATAAAATAAACAGGTCGAGTTTCCATTCAGATACTTAGCATGGCAAGTGAAATGTTTTGGTTTTGGACAGTGACATTAATACTGACATGCACAATAAATCCGTGAAAGTAGAGTGCATGTCATGGTTGTTAGGGGATTTTTGGATCAGTGGGCAAGCGATGCTCGTGTCATCAGGGTCACATTAATCACAGAAAGGTCATTGAGCTCCGTGGACAACTTAATCTCTTCGTGCACTTTTTCAGTTTAGATCCCAATGCTGTTAAAAACAAGGACACTTTAATCAGTCTTATTCTGAACGCACTCATTCATAGTCATCTTTTTTCTGGAAAGATTGTGATTTCGCTTAAAATAGCGATCCCTTCTAAAGTGCTCCTGCTGCATATGCCTTGTTGTGTATTTTGCACTTAAGATAATTTGACCCATGTTTTATTAAATCTGCTTTACTTACTTAAACACTTATAAATCTGTTTAAAACAATTATTTGCAGTTCACGTAGCAACAAAAAGCTTCACATAAAGCTCTGGGCCGTATTCATTAAGAATCTTAATGCAAAGAAAATTCTTAGAAATGTGGGCGTTTACTCTTAAAATTAAAGAAAAAATCCTAGTAAAGAAAAAAGTAATTCAGAAAGCATCTTAACCCTTAAAAGAGGTTAAGATGAGAAAATGAGGAGAGGAGAAAATGACAGAACGATGAAGAGGGATAAAAAATATGTTGCAGACAATGGATGACAGTGACTTAATACAGTAAGACGATAGATGAGATCGTCAGGGATCATTGTCACTGATCTTATTAGAGACACGCTAATATAGACCATTTTGCAAGATGTAAACAACACTTCCTGTTTCAGTTTGTAACTGTTTTCTTTATTTCACTTGTAAAGAAAAAAATCTTTAACTTTTTGATTCAGTTTTATATGTTCTGTTGGTTGTATTTTATCCCAGCTTTTATGTAGTGTTAAAAAACCTAAACAGGAAGTGCTTCTGGACCAGTTTTGTTTACATCTTGCAAAATGGTCTATTTCAGACTCAGCGCAGGAATGCCATAACGCCAGAAATGAAATGAAAGTAATCACTATTTAGATATTTGTCAAATGCGAAAATGCAATAAAGCAGCAGTGATTTGGGTCTGTCACAACCTTCTTTAAGCAGTGATCACACAAACAATTACAGCACTTCTAGAACCTCTTATGTCGCAGTTCATTTACTTTTCCACTGGACAGTCCCCACCTTGGAAGCTAAAAAACCTGCATTTATGAATATAGAAGGCTTCCCTGGTGCATTGATATTTGCAGTATAAGCTCTCACGTCTGCTTCTTGCTCCGTGCTGTGACACAGCCCGAATTTTACGATGGCCTAGTGTTCATCTACTAACTGGCTTTCTCGTCTTTTATACCATGTTTGCTACACCACACACAGATGGCTTTTAATGTGTTTATTTCATTTTATTGAAATTTATTTCTTTAGCAAACATGTTTCATCGATCAATTTTCGGCAAAAAAAAAAAAAAAAAAAGTTAAAGGGTTAGTTCACCCAAAAATGAAAATTAGTTCTACGAGACTTCCTTAGATTTCCACGATGCATGCGCGAGAATTGCGATCTGAAGTAGTGTAAGCTGATGTGAGCAGATCGCAAATCTCGCGCATGCGTCGTGGAAATCTAAGGAAGTCTCGTTCTGGCCTACAAGGAAGAAAAGAAATAGTCGAATAAACTCGTTATTTTTGTTTGTTTTTTCGCACAAAAAGTATTCGCGTCGCTTGATAAACATATCGTTGAGCCACGGTAGTCACTTGGGATATTTAAACATTTTCTTCATTGACTTTCTGGGCCGTCAAGAGGCAGTCCTTTAGGAGCCAATGTGGTAGTTATACAGCTCTCAAATTTAATCAAAAATATCTTCATTTGTGTTCCGAAGACGAACGAAGGTCTTACGGGGTTGGTACAGCATGGGGGTGAGTAATTAATGACTTAATTTTCATTTTTGGGTGAACTAACCCTTTAATAACAATCAAGATGCTTGTTTTCTTTGCGGCCCCTTTAAATACAGTTGTAAAAAAGATCACGCATGCGATCTATACGGTGGCCGAGAGGTGCAAAACAAATCACAATTATGAAAACAAAAAAACAAGTCAGAAAACACAACGACAATTCAGAAAACACAACAACAAATCTGAAAACAAATTAACAAGTCAGAAAACACAACGACAAATCTTCTACGTCAGAGCATCATGCGTCCACGAATCTTTCACGGCGTCGCTGTCAGGGAACGAATTCGCCGCTCTCACCGGCGGCTGTGTGAACGTACGGTTAGAGAGACAAAAGTTTAGAAGTTCAGTCTGGGGGATCTAGACAGTCAGTTACATGGTGCTTTGGACAAGGACTCTATAAGGACAATAAGGACTTTAGGCAAAGTGGCTAAATTGAGCAGAGATGAGCGATGATGATGAGCAGGGAAGCGTTGGTGCAATGTTGACAAAGCTGAAAATGGTCTGCTTTTCCATTTGCATCCCACTCTCTCAGTCAACCCCTCCAGAACATTATCATTTGGAGGTTAAAGCATATAATCCTGCATCCCTTAAGGTCTGATAGGAAGGAGACAGAGTACATAAGTGGACTGTATCACTATTAGCTTCCCACCTGAGGAATTAAAGTGCTGAGAGAGGTTTCACAGACCAGCAGCAATAGAGACTATATCTTAAAAGAGCTTTACATGTGTGAAGGTGGACTCGGTCATTTATATGATATGACACACTCTTTCTGTGGCGTAGCAACTGATGCAGTGTCTCGTTCCCTTCTCAGGGAACCAGAAATCATTTCAATAACATTTCAATAAGGCCTTCTGTTTTTTACATGGAACAAAAAAGAAAAAGAACTATACATCTTAGCTGAATCCCAAGAGGATAGTGATGGGAGAGAGAAAATAGAAAGTAATGTGTGAATATCTGTGAGTGTACCGCAATGAAATAGATTTTTTAAACACATTGTCGTATTTGTTACGGATAGCTGCTAAAAGGAAGCGCACGACGAAGGAGAATACTAGGAAATAGTCTTTTATCTAACAATCTTATTGAACACTCTGGGAAACATAGACAACACCGAACAAAGAACTGAATGAAGGCGGGACTTAAATACGCAGAGGAACAAAAGAGCTAATTAATTGGCCAACCGGTGAACGGGATAATCAAATCAGGGGAACAAACTGGCACACACAAGGAAACTGGGTCACACAGGCAAACAGGCACAGAACTAAAACACAATGAAACATGATAAAAGCAGAAGAGGAAATGATAAAACCATTGAGAGTGGTAAAGGTAAATAGATTTGCGGTCAGCAGTAGAAGACTTGAGCTCTTAGTTCCCACCAGACTACATATGCTGGTTAATTAATAGGCTATAACAATGGAGGTGGAGTTAGGGTGGAGGTTGTTGCTCCTCCAAAACAATATCCCCATTATTCCTTGCCATTTGGGGAATAATGGGGATGTTGAGAAAAGAAGAGAACTTGCTGTGTATATTAAAAACTGCACAATACACTGCACATCTAATGGTAGTTTATAGGAAAAAAATCATCTAAGGCTAAGCTAAATGATATTAAGGTAGATTATGTTGTCAAAACATAGGAGAACGATTTAATAGATGAAGAACACAAACTCAGCAGTTATTTAATATTAATCTTTATTAACTTATCAAACAAACAAACAAAAACATGAGTACATGTTAAGAGCAAGTGTATTATCAAAATTTTTTATAATTTTTTTTTTTACCACACAAGTTTATCTAGAATGAAGGCAATTTAGATCAAATAAAACATTAAAATAAATAATGTAAAAAAAAAAAAAATCCAATCAGGTTTTTTCTCTCCAGAATAAGTATTTTCTGGTTAACTGTGTAATTTCCATTATTTATTCAAAATGACTAAAAGTCACAACTTTCAATGCATGCCAATAAAAAAGATTTAAAAAAAATCTTGATGGAGACACATCATATATGATAGTGATGGAGGGTTTTCAAAGCAAACATAAGCATTATGTGACGAAATGTGATTTAATATAATAAACAGAGTTACACATCAAGGCAGTTTCCCAAATTAAGAAAATATCATGAGTGCAATGTATATCATGAAGTGTATGGTTTAGAATCACATCACTAAAATATCAACATTAAATATCTGAACTATTGCTGTAAATCTAGTTTTCTTTTTTTTTCTTTTTGTAAAAAAATGCAAGTGACTTATGCCTGTATGTGCAATACCAAACCAATCTCACAACCTATTTTACGAGGTGGCGGTTTTTCCACCCCTAAACATGACTGGAGCGTAAGCAGATTGGACAAAAACATACGAATGAGACCGTAAAAATAAGACACATATTCGCCAAAGCATAGTTACTAACTGCCAGTCACAATATTGGAGTTGGCCTTCCCAGTATTTCCCAGCATGAAATGAAGTGTCAGTAGTACAACCTGTTCAGAGCGAGTTATATACCAAAGTATAATACTTAAATTCCTAACCCTAAGAAAGAAAATAGTAATAGCTGCTTGTCTTAGCAAACACTACTATTTAAAGTCAGAATTTCAAATAAGTTGTAGGATGTCTCTGTATTTAGTCCTTTGAGAATATTGTGTATCTAATAATTTCGAGTCTGCTGAAAGTCAGACAGGGCTTGGAGACATAATCATGTCCTTGCCCACAGGATGATTGACAGGCAGACATGTTTGAAGTTCAGCAGCAGTCATTCCTCACAAGCCTGGAGAGGATGGAGTCTCTTCACATCAAGTTTTCAGCCATTGAGTGTGTAATGATTAATAATGTTCACATGAATATGAGATTTACATTGGTCACTGCAATAATAATTGAATATATATGGGCTTCTGGGATACATCAAAGTGAATGGCATAACAACAAATCAAATCATATCTTGCTCTAGATTTGATATGGATATACGCCAAGTATCCAAAACCATTGTGTATGTTGTGCTTATTATATAAATTGATTCTGATGAGTAAATTACAAATTTCTATGGACAAATATTTCTGAATAATCACTGTTAAAAAAACGGATCTGTTTTTATCTCCGTTAAAATTTTGCAATCTCTCTGTGATCGCTTTCATCTCACCTAATAAAATTATTTCAAATCAATATTTTACATCCATTTATTTGGTAAGTACAATCAGCTGGTCATTAAAGCTAAATGATAATGCAGTGTTGGCCAGCTGATTTACCATTTACTTAAGATCCAGGAACAGTTCTTCAAATTTTATCAAGTTGTGGCATCCGAATGACACTCCTTTCAGTATATTCTCAGACTTACCTAAAATTTTTTTAAGATACTTTCACCACTTCCGCATCAAAAAGATAAAGATCGAAAAGATACAAAACTAGGCCTTCGAATCTGAAAGCCATTTTGAAAAAGAGACTTTGAAAAAGTCTTTTTAAAGTCATGCATGTGTTAGGGTGCTCAGATATAGCATTGTGAACTCTGATCTTATTCACACCCGCCTGCCAGTGTTGGTTGTCAGCTGTGTTTGTGTGAGAACTGAAACTTGTGATAATGACAGACTTCCTACAGTGTCTTTAATACATTTCAGTTACGCTCAGCTGCCCCTGATGTTTCCAGACTGCTGCACTTGACTTCATCTGAGGGGGAGGGGGGGGGGGGGATGCACATATAGTCATTTATAAATTAACTTCTCTAAACTGAAACACATATAAGCATATATTTAGTTGTTCCCCTTTAGACCATTGTACTAGTAATGCGGATCATTGTTAATAACAAAAGCTTTTTTTCCTCAATTATTGTCTTACACACCTGCACTCTGGCTGTGTGATATCTGGGTGTGTGAAGCAGACATCTGTGTGATCTCTTCAGAGGGTATGTGTGTATGGCTGGAAGGGTCTGCGGTTCTTAGGTCATCTGGGGGCCAACGTAACTCTCCGCTCTCCACCTCTCCCTCTGTGGGCTCCACTACGATGGAGGGCAAGCGCTTGGACAGCTTGGGGGGGCGCTCCTTTGTGTCTGGAAAAATCTGAAAATAGATGTTTTATCTTTGAGATAAAGTATGTTGAATGCTCCACTTGTGTTTATAGACATAAAGAAAGAGATCACCTATATGGAAAATGCTGTCATCATTTAATCACTTCCATTTTGTTCCATACCTTTTCATTTTTCCATGGAACACAAAAGGGAGTTTTTAAAGAATATCTTGTTTTTTTTTTTGTTTGTTTTTTCATATAATGAAAGTGAAAGCGGACCAGAGCTTGTCAAGCAACAAAATGACACCATAAATATATCCATACTAGAACTTTGTGTTATCTGAACAGGACAATATTTATTTTCTTAAATTCCAGGCTAATTATCACAGTATGATATTGAGTATTTCAATGGCCCTTTCATTATGTGAAAAGAGCATGTAGGTTGTTCTTTAAAAATGCAAGAAGGTCATAAGGGTTTGAACGACATGAAGTTTAGAAAATGATGACAATTATGTTTATACGGTATTCACAGAATCTTAAATCAGTTGAAAGTTTAATTGAGAGATCAGATGACATTGAAGGAACTGATCAACTGACCAATGAAAAGATTTGGATGAGACACCAACCTGAAAGGAAACGCCTTGCTCTCCGGTGTCACTCATAGTGAAATCTTCTCGACTGTGTTCTGGGTTGTTCAATATATCCGTCATTCTAACAAGAAAATGAATCGTAAATTAGCCTATATATAAACAAGCAAATGCCTGCTGACAAAGAAAACGAGGAACATGAAGTATATAATCAGTACTTGGTTCACACAGGGAGAGTAGAGTATACAGTACATTTGCAAGTAGTATTTTTATTTAATAAAAAGTAACAACACTCAGAGACTTAAAGAACACAGGAAAACAGAAAACCACATAAAATGGAAGACAACAGACAAACAACTGAACAAAACGGGAGTATAAATACACACGTTGATGAGGGGTAAAATAAGGCACAGTTGGAACAGATCAATCAACTAATAGGTAACCAGATCAACCAAGGACACATGGACTCAAAACAGGCAAGAGAAACTTAACTCAGGGAACCCAAAAACAGACAATATGTGGCCGTTGACAAAATTAGGTCCTGTAAGATAGTGTGTTTCAAAGAAATGTCTTATGCTCTCCAAGGCTGCATTAATTTAATTTAAAAAATAGAATAAAAACAGTAATATTACAATTGATTTCTATGTTAATATTTTTCAAAATGTAATTTATTCTAGCGATGTCAAAGCTGAATATTCAGCATCATTACTACAGTCTTCAGTCAGTGTCACATGATCCTTTAGAAATCATTCTAATATTCTGATGTGCTGCTCAAGAAATGTTGTCCAACTTAATATTTTTTCTGGAAGCCATTATACATTTTATTTCAGCATTCCCCAGACTTTTGAACGGTAGTATATATTGTTTGAAACTGTGTATCGTAATAAGAACAATACTTTCAGATTATAACACTAACACACAAATACATAACCTTTGCCAAGGAACAGTGAAGGATTAGTTCACTCCAAAATTATAATTTTGAAATTTCATTTCAATCCTGTCTTTTTTTCTTCTTCAATGGAACACAAAAGCCAATCTTAATCATATGACAAGGAAAAACCAATGGCGTTTGACATCAAAAATGTCCTTTTTGAATTGATCACAAGTGATGAAGAGAATTATTAATGCAATACAATGAATAACCAATGAAAAATTATTCAATCGTTTACCCATATTGCTCATACTATAAGTGTTTGTATGGCTTCAGATTATTTAGCACATATGGAACTGCTTTTATAGAGATTTTTTTTCTTTCTTGGCAGTATACCATCCACTTTTGTTGTATGGAAAATAGCCACTTGGATATTCAGCCAAACATTTAATTTTGTGATTCATAGAAAAAAAAAAAAAGAAAAAACACAGGGTAGAAGCAGGTAAATAATAACACAATTTGAATTGTGTGTGAACTATTAATTTAATAAAAAAGATACTAGAAAAAAATGAAGAAAATCATGCGCCAACATGTCAGTTGCAGCATTTGCATGTTTGTTCAGTCTGTAATCCCTAAAAAAAATCCTTCCTGTCCCTTTCAAGCTGACATGGTTTTAACAGTATGCACAAAACCAAACACCCCAGCTATTCTTTGTTCCAGGCTTTGACTGCTGTGTGACACTGTGTCTGCAGGTGTGTATGCAAATAGGAAGCGTGATAAAATTATAAAATATTATCCTCCATCATTTTCATTCAGATTGATGGCGAACTCATGCCTGTTTGCAGTCTGTTGAACAGACAATATGAGGGACGAATGCTGAAGGATAATAAAACTGTGAAAACACTAGTTAGTACACCCACTCACATCCACACTCACAAATCCTGTTCAATTATTCAGCAGTTAAAGGCTGGATAGCACAAAGACCCATAAAAACTAATCACGTTATTTTGACAATGACAACTAAATTGCTCAGGCTAAGGCAGTGCCTAATATTATTATCATTAACTGAAAATAAAACAATTAGAAATAATTTCCGGTAATTTAAATAAAACTGTAGAAATATTAGATGAAAAACATCTCGGGTTATGATTATAACCTCAGTTCCCTGAATATGGAACGAGGTGCTGCATTAAAATATTGACGCTTTGGGAACGCTTCCATGTGACTGGTTTCTAAGCACATGTGAAACAGCACCAATTCGATTGGTAGTCATATGACGTAAGATGGTGCGCTATTTGACTATAAAAGTACATTTGCTTTTGACATCATCAGCTTTTGATTGGCTGAAGAACGACATTCAGGTATGATGTAGTATGGCAAGGAGACGCAGTCTCTCCTTCCTTACTCAGGGAACAACAAAGGTTACAGTCTAACCCAAGATGTTTTCTTTCGAGGGAATAGTACGCTGCGTCTGAATAGTACAGTAACACCTTTGAAGGGGCCACATCCCTATTATACCCCTTTTCCACCAAAGCCTTTTGAGAGCCGGTTCGGAGTCGGTGCCTTCGCGCAAACCAGTTCTTTGTGTTTCGACAGCCAAGGAACCGGTTCTTGGCCAGGAAAACTGGTTCCAAAGCGTCACCAACTCTTTGCTGGACTAGAACCGTTCTTTTACCACGTCATGCTAACGTCAGGGGCTGGGGCGGGTTTAGATGTGTTCTGACCATAATATAGGATCGCAAAGCCAGGAGAAACATTTGCAGAAACACGATGGAGTCCGCCTTTGTAATTGTTTTGCTTGAAGTTGGCGCAAGCGTTTCTATTTTTTTTTTTGAAAACATTATAAGCAAAGTAGAAAACAGTCACTGTAATCATACAAGATTACATATCAAAAGAAAAGATTAAAAGACTTACATATTTCAATTGTTTTTAAAGCCTTCTTGGTACAAGAGTTAGAGATTATCCCAAAGTAATGTTGTACTTGCAAGCGTTTCTAGCTAAGACGTATGGCGACATACACAGTGATATAATGACGTCGTTCCCTGGGCGCTCTAGTCAGTGGAAAAACAAACAGGTTCTGAAAGGGTTCGCAAGTTGAACCAACTCTGAACCAACTTTCAACCAGCACCAGTTCCGAACCAGTTCTTTTTTGGTGGAAAAGGGGTAGTAGTGTGGGCTCTTATAGTCCCTGTACTCTGAACAGCTGCTGAGAACCAAACAGGGCATACAAGATTAAGCCTCTCCTGGTCTCCTGTTCTTCAGATTGAAAAGGCAGAGGACAGAAGGACCTGAAGAAGCACAGAACACGTCACTGAGGAAGAGCAAATCATACAAACATAGCCTTGTCCATGTTTTAACCAAGACATCCAGCCTCAAGGGTGCTGGAGGTATGAAGGCGAACCGGAGTGGACGGTGTGTCAAATTCTCAGGTCTACTTCCACTCTGCCAAACCTCAACCATATTGACTCCATCTGCCTCGACAGGATTTCTGATCCCTGATTCAGGTACCCAGGTATGTAGTCTGGGTCCAGAGCAGGATCTGAGATGCCAGTCTGGAAATAGGGCATGAACCCTGTTGATTTAGTATGGGACTACTGATGTGTTGTCTGATGGCCTCTGAGGTCTGGGAGAAGTATTTCAGAACCAGAAATACAGCCCTCGTCGCCTGGCAACTTATGTGCCACGAAAGATGGTGACCTCTCCACAAACCCTGAGCAGAGCAGCCATCTAGGATCGCATCCCAGCTTGTGAGGGAAGCATCTGTTAGTATTTTGGGACAACACAATGCCCTCAACACGGGACCTTGGGCCAAGAACCAAGGTTTCTTCCACATCACTAGGGTACACTCTTAGAAGAAAAGGTTCTATATAGAACCTTAAAAGGTTCTATCAACGCTACGTATTTGGAACCCCTAAAAGGTTCTATACACTATTAAAAAAGGGTTCCTCTGGGTTCTATATAGAACCCTGGGGTTCCATACTTGGCCAATAGAACCTTTTACTGTGTGTAACCCTGATGATGCGAAAAGAGTTGCCCCTTGGGGACAATCCCTTGGTCTTGAGCCACCGCTGCAATTATTTCATGTTCAAAAGGCCCAAAGGTATGATGTTTGACGCAGCTGCGTTGAGTCCCAACCGCCTGACATTGACAGCTTGACCTAGCCTGATCTTTCCTATGGCCATGAAAATAGACTCTACGTGCAGGGTACAAACGTGCAAGGCTAGGCCGAAAGGAAGAACCTGATATTGGCAAGATTCGCCCCCCAAAACCAAACCTGAGGATGGATATCATATGTGATCCTTTAGATCTATTGTGACAAGTCCTTGGATCTGATTTCAAATACGATGAACTTGATTGTTCACATTTTGAACCTTTAAGTCTGTAGAGTACAGTTCAGATGACGCAGATCCTTCTTTCGTACCGGCTTTAGAAGCCCGACTTTCTCTCAGGAAGAGGAATATATGTTCTCTTCTATTTCTATAGCCTATTTCAACAAAAAAGACTGTACTTCATGCTTTAACACCAGAGCCTGCTCTGTGCTCACCAACGTAGGTAGCACCCCGCTGGATCCTGTAAACGCTTCCATGGTTCGCAGAACCCAAGGAGACACACTTGGCAGAAGTTGCCACGTTGCCATATGGCCTGAAAGTGGTATCTCACATCCGGCGCAGGATGATCACAAGGCTTGAGGTTCCATTTGGGAAAGGGGCCAATAAATAAGAGAAATTTTTACATATATCACTTTCTGAAGACAAAGAAGCCGAAAATGTCTAATGCAGATATAATCATATGACACACCGTCTTACGTCATATGACTTCTATATAGAACCTTAAAAGGTTCTATCAACGCTACGTATTTGGAACCCCTAAAAGGTTCTATTATTAAAAAAGGGTTCCTCTGGGTTCTATATAGAACCCTGGGGTTCCATACTTGGCCAATAGAACCTTTTACTGTGTGTAACCCTGATGATGCGAAAAGAGTTGCCCCTTGGGGACAATCCCTTGGTCTTGAGCCACCGCTGCAATTATTTCATGTTCAAAAGGCCCAAAGGTATGATGTTTGACGCAGCTGCGTTGAGTCCCAACCGCCTGACATTGACAGCTTGACCTAGCCTGATCTTGCCTATGGCCATGAAAATAGACTTTCACACCGTCTTACGTCATATGACTACCGTCAGCCAAAATTCAGTCATGCTTCAGAGACCAGTCACATGGAAGCGTTCCCACAGTGTCAATATTCAGTCGCGCGGTGAGTTCCCACGAAAAGGATATTTAACTTAAATGTCAACATTTTTTTATTTGTTAATTAATTATAATTTGTAACAAGTGTTTGACACTTTTACAGCTGCAACTTGAAGATGGAGATGAAGATTCTTGAATAAAGGCTTGAATTTGGATCTGTTCCTCCAGCCCGTTCTCATCCCAAGGCGTCATATACTGATGCTTTTGGCAATGTGTATACATCCAATGCACATGCTTTAGCGTCAATATGAGACGCAGATATATATGAGCCAGAAGGCACCTCCTAGTGGTCTAACCCTAACCCTACCCGAAACGCAAACCTACCCATTAACGAAGCGTGTTATATTGACGCTAAAGGGTGCCTTCTAAATGTGCGTTAGATGTATATGCATTGGCAAAAGCGTCAGTATATGACGCCTTGGGAATTAATGGTTAAGTAATGGTTAAACATTTACAGAAATGTTACTGATTTTATGTTTTTTTCTTATGGTTTATTTGTTTAACATTATGTAATTCTTTGAGATGAGTTTGCATCAGAAGTCACAAAATGAGTAAAAAATGTGATTGAAATAATTGAATTTACATGAATTGCAACAGAATCAACCAATTAATTCCATGAATTCAGTATAAGAAAAAAGGGAATTTTATCCATTTGTAAGTCTGTAAAGTTACCGATACATAAATAATTTAGATGCTGTCAGTACTTCAATACGATACGTTTCAGTGCCAATGCAAACCTAAGTAATATTTATAGTTTTCACCCCCAGCCACTAAAGAGAAAAAAAGGGGAACCAGTTCTGGGTGAACTGTCACAATGAGTGTGGTAATGTGCTTTATTAGTTGCTATAACGGTATTTTGTTAAGCTTCTAGATGAGAAAAATAAACAGATTTCTGTAGAATGTTAGAAAAGATGTTACCAGGGAACCAATAGGAACATGTTGGGTCTAATTGTTTGATTATTGTTTTGCTATTTTTCAAAGGATTGTGAGACTGAATGCAGTGTTTCATGTAACATTGTGGTGTAATTAGAATAACACTGACAGATACTCTTACTTAGAACTGTCCTTTAATTGTGGCTTTGCTTAAGGCGAATATAGAGGCAGCTCAACTCAAGGCTTTTAAAGCACATGCAATAAAGTATGGTCTAACTTTGACATTAATGCGTGAGGTCTATGGGTTTCTTTGTGCGTACACATGAATGCATGCGTGCTTGTATTAATGCCCATAAGCATGGGTGGAATTTATTTTTATTGATATCATTTTAATACAGCTTCAAAGGCCTCTGGCTGCCAGATGATTTTTGGATTGCAAGCACAGACGTCACCATACATGCCAAATCATGTCTAGACCTTTTGTGAGTTCAAAGAGAGGAACTATTTTATGATTAATATATTGACATGAAGGAAAATAAAGGCTTCCTGGATTTTAAAGGTTTCCTTCAGTGAATTGATTGATCAAGAAACATTGTAATATATCTAACATATCAAACAGGTGTGGAAAATGTTGTGGGAAATATGACTTACTTAAATATTTGAAATGAATAGACAGTTAAAACTATAGAATTTGTTTTATTTTTTTGTAACGTTCTAATACAATTAAAGCAACACCAAGTAGCTTTTCCTCTTTGAAATCATGATGGCAATTCAAAAGCTACCCGCCTGCTAGGTATCTTACATGTAGTTGTAGTCTATTGTCGAGTACGCTCCACCTCACTCAGCAATTGTAATGCTTGCCGTAAAGCAAGTCAAATGTGTAGTTTTCTCATGTCTCATTCGAACTAAAAGACCGCTCATCAGATAAAGGACCGCAAAGCGGTGGCATAAGTGCAATTCATCATGTCACGACTTGATGAACCACTGAAACGATTTTGAAAACATTATTTTAAGGTAATTTTTTTTTTTTTAAATTTTAAAGTTGCTTTAACTTTGACCCAACTACACCCAACTTTCTAATCTCAGCATTTAATTGCCAATCACAGATTTCAATTTTATGGTCATTCCACAAGATGGGTGCCTTTTTCTTTTAATATTTAACATTTTTATTTTATTTTGCCATATAACTACGCTTTGAAATAAATAAACAATCAGAATTAACAATTTTATAGTTAATTTAGCCATTAGGAGCCTATAGTGTTTAAGGCCATGACCTTAAGTTTCGTGAAACTTTTAATAATCAGTTAAAAATGGTAACAGGGTTGACTATTTAAGATCATCTCCCTGTCAGTGAGGTCATGTTATCGGTATGATGTCATTACGATATTGATATTGTTTTGTTTTTTTGGACATCATTGTAAAAATGACTGCTTTATGAAGAGTTACTGTATGATGTAACAGTTGATGCATAAGTTTTTATTTTGTTTTTTTTTTTTACTAAAATTTAACAAATATATGAATACAAAATATTAGATTTAATTTTCATTGTGCAAATTTGCTAATATTACAAGTTAGAAACAACCAAAAGACATCTGACATGAATCAAGAAACAAAAAACAAAAAAAGTTAATGGATTTTATTAATGTGTTTCCTGAACATGACAATTACAACACATAGGCCTAGTTAAAAGTCATAATTTCATTGTTAAAGTCATTATAAAAAAAAATCTCTCTTATAATGGACTAGTATGAAACAATATGGAACAATTCTAATATGCAACTCCATAGAAATGCAAATGTGGTTTTAAGACAAATTGCACGCATATAACGTTAGCTTAAAAAATCATAAAAAGGGGCCAAATTTAATTTAGTCAAAGGAATATAGACTAAATATGAATATAGGCTACAGCAGATAAGCAATTAAAAAGATGTACACAAAAATTATATGCAGATGAACCTTTAAGTTTTTCAGCAATGTGTGTTTGGTTTCCTGAGACTGAATACCTTCTCTTTTTAACACTTAACTTCAAACGTGCAATGTACCATAATGTCAAATATCCTACCTTTATTTTGTCCCCTTCTCTTCTTGAAGTGTAAGAAATTGTATTATATTGAGATATCCTCCCGTTAAATGTCTCTCGCAGCTTCCGTTCACATCAGTCCGTCCAGTTCGAGCGGAAAGTTACTGTTGAATGCTGTCACAGTGCTTGTGCTCATCCTACCAACGTCATTCATTTACATGTTGAGAGCTGCATACATGCAACATGAATCGCTGTACGATTGGTTACGAGAAGCACGCATCCACGTCGTCATCGAAGCTTGTTTTTTCATGTCATTTTCAGGATCTCTGAATCCTTCCAGATGAAGATTATTACGCAAGTCTTTGGCTGAGTTTAGTGATCTGCACTACCAGATTTTTAGAAGCAACTTTCTCTGAAAGATTCATCCTCATGTTACTGGATAATAATGGCTTTAGTGTTCTTTAATAAACTTGAAAGCTTGTCTGGTTTAAGGAAGATTGTTGTTGGTTATGGATCGCTGATGCCCCCTGCTGCTGTACTTGGATTTTTTCCCACTGAGGTCTATTTATAGGCATGCTGTTTGCGTGATTGTTTACACTCATATTCCATGTAAACAGTGACTTTTTTGTTCATATTTTGGTCAGGTCCCTTTAACAGGACACAATAGTGACTGGTGTTCACTTTTTCCACCGTGGTATACACCTATTTCCTATTTATTTTCCCCTTGCCTTTTAAACTTTAATTAGTTTTAAGAATCAAACCAGCTTAAGTTACTGTATTATTGTATGTATAATTACTGCTCTGACTGGACCACAGTACATATACAAACTCCATATGTTGTTTTAATTGTTTTTTTTTTTGCACACTTATTTTTACTCATTGATTATTGCACTGAAATTATAATGATTTATATATTTTTTTGCAATGCACTGACTAGGGTGTCTTTCAATCAGTCTTTTTAATCCCCAGCCTGCTGTCCGTATCAATCAATCAATGAATGAATGAATGAATGAATGAATGAATGAATCAATCAATCAATCAATCAATCAATCAATCAATCAATCAATCAATCAATCAATCAATCAGTCAATTCCCCTTATACAGCAAGGTTACTTGTTGAATATTATACAATATTTTTTTTCATTTAAATTCCAGTTTTATAAAAATTGTGAATTTAGTAACAGTTTTTAATCAACATCTATGTATTTTAATAATTTCTAGCTTAAATGGCAATGCAGATGAAAAAGGAAGGAGTGTCATGTCAATATAATATTGTTACACTCATAAATAATAAATGTGATTTTGTGTTGCCATCCAACTAAACAGAATGTAAATCTATTACAAATGATTCTTAGTCCATTCTTTAACTACTACTAACGGGATAACTTTTAATTCATTGCGTTTCATTTAAAAAAAAATAGTAAAGAATGTCAAATAGTAAAAAAATAGTAAAAAATAGTAAAAAATAGTAAAGAACCAGTCAAATGCTGGTGCAATTCCAATATCTAAGCAACCACAAGAATGGACACAAATTAAATTTCAGGGCATGGCCTCAACAGGAGAACATACTGTATATGGAGTAGGGTAGGCAGACATTGTTTGTGTGTGTGTGTGTGTGTGTGTGTGTGTGTGTGTGTGTGTGTGTGAAGTTTTAGCACAAAATACCCCACAGATATTTTATAGCATGTTAAAGTTGTCACTTTTTGAGGGTTTGCAAAAACGCACCGTTTTGTGTCTGGCCCTTTAAATGTAAATGAGCTGCTGCACAGGGCGGGGTTTCAAAAGGTCGTGTCAGCTGCACGCAGACACACTAAAATGACAGAAACTGTTCTTGGAGGGACTCAAGAAAGAGTGAAAACATGTAGAATACAACAGGAAATCTCTGAATGGTTAGTTGATTAATTTATGTTGCTGATGTGGAGTTAACTATCTTCAATTAGCATATTCTGTCATGTAACGTTAATCTCTCATCTAGGAACTGTTGTGAGATGCACACAGAGTGACTTATTATTGCATGTGAAAAGATGGATGCTAAAGTTTGAGCTGACTCACATATGTACTCTTTTGCCGTGTTCCAGGCAACCTGTAACCCGTGTTTTTCCAACTTTATACCCGTGAAAGTGCAGTCAAACCTGTGACTTCCCACCCTTGAACGAGCTCTGACGTCACATAGCCAGGCCAGCGAAACCATACAAAACAACAATGGCAGCCCCTATGGATGCAGTGTTTCTGCAGGCAGTACACGGTGAGATTACACTTTAGGACAATATAACGTTAACTAGTTTTTAGTCCATTGAGTGCAAGGATAAATTTATACCAAATACATTTCCAAATATACAAATAAAGTAGAATTAAAGGTACAACAGCTTATCTTGCCTTATGCACCATTTTTTCCTTAAATAAACAAGGAGTAAGCACCTTTGGCAACAGAAATTATTACAAATGTGCATAAGCCCCATAAGTTCCGCCATGCTGGTTTGTTTACATCTAGCTACCACAATTCCTTGCGCTCAGGTAGTTTGGCGTGACTGACCTGGAATGCTACAAAGTCATGAGTCGTGGTTTTAAGTCATGATTTATGTGCTCAAAAACCTGCCTGGAATGCAGCATTATACAACAACTTTCCCTTTTCTCAACATGTGTTCCCCGGAGCGGGGTTTATGTACATGTTAGGATTGGTGATGTCACTAACCTGGGAGGAATGTTGTGTAGTCCCTACTAGTCATTTGTTGTAGTCCTTTTCTTTAAAAGGAAATATCTTCCTTTGCTTTGAACTTTAAACGTTGTAACTTTGATAATGTTGTTTATACTCAAACAGTGAAATCATAATTTACCACCCCTTTAATTCAACTGAATTTTTTTTTTAAAACCTGATGTTGATGCAACTTCCGATATCTTACAGAGCATGATACAGAATGAGAGATGAAAGGTTTTCAGACAAAGTCAGAGAAGGGTTTCTCAGTTTATTTTGCTTTGGGTAAGGGGTACAGTTTGGTACATTGCTGAAACACATATTCAACTCATACAGTAGTAAAATTGGTAAATGTGCAGCTTTCCCGAGTGACGGTGCCCTATGAGGTGGCAAAGTCTCAATGATTATGTTGCTCTGGCCTTGTTTAGGATTATAATATAGGCTCATTATTGTCTGATTATCAGACAATAAACCTGGTTTGCATTTCCTTAAAAGTATCTTTAGCCAACTACAGTCGCAAGTTCCATTGAATTCTGTTGTAACTACAGAACTTGCGACCGTAGTTGGCTTTATCCTTTAAAAAGTTCATGAGAAAGTTGGCTGCGATATTATTCTAATTGTCAACAGATCAACTTGTGTCTGTGCATTAATCTAACTCTGATACTTGGCTTTACACTTATATTGATCGTAAATTATTGTATTATTATATTTTCAAATTAATTAGTGATATTTGGGAGGGTGATCTCTCTCAGTGTGTATTACTGTATTTTTTAGTGTTCATAAACTAAATCAGAGACATGGAACATATTTTCACTTTTTTATTTCTTTTGCAGTGACTAGTGTTTCTCTTACAACATTCATTTGACAATACATGTTAAATGAAAAGTCATTGCTTATTGAGAAAATGATTGTATTTTGAAAATGTGCATTGTATATTTTGCAAATCTATTGATTCCATCAAACGCTTTTGTCATAAGCTTACAAAGATAATGGATAGGCAAATAAAACATTTACATATTTGCTTTCATTTATTGTCAAGGCTGCAGAAACACAGATTTTATATGCAATTTTATAGTTTTCTCAAAACAAATAACCTCAAAGAAACAAATGCCTCAATATGTGATACTGTCAACATTCTTTAAAAGCCACACCAACTTTATAATTAATTTTATTTGTGAATATATCTATTTAAATGTTGTTTGCTTGAATATTACTGAGTTTGCACTGTAAACAATTTCCCCAAGATAACAGTTGTACAATAAAGTGCACTGATAACCCACACATCAAATGATAATATAATATTTTTTTCCTATTATTCATATTACATACATAATTTGCTTAAAATCTTCACTAGCTAAACAATACTCTGTGATATGTTCATAAGTAAGTCAATTAGCATTTCAATTCAGCTGGCTTGTATGATTATATAAGAGAACACCGAAACATACATTCAAAAGCATAAAATAAACTCAGCCATATGTCATGTTCATTTCCCCTCATTCTCATCTGTTGAGGAATCCATATGTCTTAGAGATGTTTCATAGCTCACTATTGTGACCTCTTCAGTTGTTGCTGCACTGTCGAAAAACCTCATTTTCTCAGTGTGTACCGTGTCTCTCAGCCTACGAATCGAGGAAGCCGTATCATCACAAATGGGTTCTGCAGAGTCTCCTTCAAATACACGTGTTCTCTGTGTCACAATTATCGTCTCGTTATCGTCATGTAATGTTTCTTTCACAACGTGCTTTTCCACCAATGTTTGCTTCCCACATTGCACTCTGGTTTCCTCTACTGTCAACACAGAGTCTGAGCCTAGTGTTACTTGCAATGGTGAGGTGTGAATTCCATGGGCGTCTAGATTAGTAAAGATTGCTGCTTGCTGTGTGTCTGGTATAGCTTGAATGTTCGATGTGATGACATGAATTTCCCCTGACATCTGTTTCAGAGTGTCCACTGAGGGTGAGGACATATCTGATGAAAATGGGATGTTGACTTTTTCTGGCTGGTGTTGAGGCTCCATTGATATCATTTCACATCTGGCTGTGGAAGTTACAACATTAGTTTGTACATCTTTGACCCCAATAGTGGCAGTTGGTTCAGCATATTTCACTTTAACTTTTGTAGGAGAGGTCTGCGACAGGCCCACATGTTCAGTTACTGTGGAACTTATATCTGCAAAGGCTTCAGATGACCTTAGTGATAATGTTGGGCTGATGTTGTCCTCCACAGCCTCGCTGAGCAAGCTCTTCTCTGGTTCCTCGTGTGCCTTGCTGGATTCTTTCTCTACATCATCAGACTTCTCAGGCTCTTCTGGTGGTTGGATTGTTTGTTCCTTCTCGTCAGATTTTGTAGATTTGGTTGGAGAAGAAAATGAGAACTTGAACCAGCCTCCTTTTTCAGTTTTTGCTTGTTCTTTGCTAACAGCGGATTTCTGATCCGCTGAAGCCTCCAGATGTTTTTCACTTTCTTCAATTTTGGCGTCGACTAACTTATCACTTTCATCTGAGGACTGGCTGAATCCCAATTTTGGAAATTTAAATTTAAACTTTGATTTCTCCTGCGCTCCTTTGTCTTTCAGTTCTGCTACTTCCTCAACTTTTTCTCCAGCCTCCTGGTCTTGCTTAACAGATGTTTTTTCCATTTGTCCTTCCTTTTCCTCTATTGTTGGAACATTAAATTCAACCTCAAAGCCACTGAGAACATCCTCAAGTCTTGGCATTGTAAATCTGGGTGACTTTCCAGTCCCTTGTGAATCATCTTTTGCTTGTGTTTTAGTGTCTGGGGCATTTGCATTTACGGTTGTGTCATCTTCTCCATCCTGAGATTTTGTTCTTGAAATGCTAAACTTTGGCATTTTCATAGTAGGAAGTTTGAATTTACTCGGGGAGCCTTTGTCACCCTCCGTTTTTTTTACAACAACCTCTGGAGGCTGTTCAGTGGTTTCTTTAATTTCACCCTCTCTGTGCATATCTTTGGAGACTTCTACTTGTAAAGGCTTGTCTTTAATATTTAGATCAGTTTTAGTGTCTGGAACATCTACTTCTACTTCTTTCCCCTTTGCATCAGATGTTCTTCCAAATCTTGGCATTTTAAAAGCAGGCATTTTGAATTTACTTGGAGAACCTGAAACAACAATGGTATCATCTTTCAACTCTGTCTCTACCTCTGTTTTTTCAAGGCTGGAACTTCCCTCTAAAGCCATGGCTACTTTTGGGAGACTTGCATCCTCTGCTGCAGTTTTAATTTCTGGTTCTTTTATTCCAATTTCAAGTGTTCCTGTTTTTACTTCTTTTGCAGTTACCTCAGGACCTTTTACTTTGGGTAATGAAATCCCAAATTTTGGAAGTTTAAATTTAGTTTCCTGTCCCTCTTGATTAATCTCTTTTGCTTTTATGGTCATATCAATAGATGGGGTTTCAATCTCTGCAGTTTTGCATTTGATGTCATCTGATTGGTCCACTTTTGATGTCTTTATCTCATAATCCACTGAACTAACTTTAATTTCCTTGATGTCAGAGTCAGGTGCATCAGTGACCTTTGGAGCGGAAAATCCAAATTTGGGTAATTTTATTTCTGGGAGTTTGAATTTTGTTGGAGAGCCAAATTGTGGACTTGTTATTTCAGTTTTGCCATCTCTCTCACTTTCTCCAATTTCTGCAGTGCCCTGTATTAAAATATCTGTTGTCATTTCACTGGCTTGCATATCCACTTCCACTGTTCCTTTGGGTAACTTTAGCTCTTTCTTGTCTGTAGTTGGCACATCTCCTGACATTTTCACTTCTGTTTTTGTCAGAGCTTTCTTGAGCTCTTGGTCACTGTCAGGACCTTTAGTTGTTGGGAGAGCAATACCAAATTTTGGAAGCTTAAATTTGCTTTTAATGTTCATCTCAATGGATGGATCTTCAACATTTTCTGTTTGCTCTTTCATGTCAACACTTGCTACGTCTCCTGACACGTTAAAAGTCTTTTCGGGAAGGCTAACTTCATCAATCTCCACATTTGCAGTAGGAATGTCAACTGTGTCCTTTGATGTTTTGGTTCCAAATTTGGGGAAGTTGATTGTTGGAAGTTTAAATCTTGTTGGAGAGCTAAAAGTGTCCTTTTTCAAATCAGGTTGTTCTTCTGGTAATTTAATATCCACAGATTCCTTTGAAAAATCAACAGTTCCCAGTGATGTGCCCATGTCAGGTTTGGGTAGACTCACATCAACTTCAGGAGCCTTAAGATCTTGTTTTGAAAATCCAAATTGGGGAAGTTTCACTTTCAGCCCTTTGGAATCAACTTCAACTTTATCTGTTTCCCCCTCAATGGTCACACTTTGAATTGCAACATCAGGCTGTTGTACATTAACTTTTTCCTCACATAGCAAGCCAGTCTCTGTGTTTATCTCTTTACCCTCTTTCCCCATCTCCTTTCCTTTTGGCATACCAATTCCAAATTTTGGCAGCTTGAACTTACTCCCCGTCCCCTCAATGTCCATCTCTTTGACCTTAATGTCCACATTTACAGTAGGCCCCTGAATATCGATGTTTGTTTCTGTGTCATTGGTTTGTACCTCTATTGTTTCAGAGAAACTGATTTCAGGTTTTTTTAAATCTACTTCAGCTGCTGGTATATCAGATGTGGACTTTGGATCTTTGATTCCAAACTTTGGGAGGTTGATTGAGGGAAGGTTAAATTTTGGATGAGTTGGATCTTCTTGTTTTTTCACTTCTGCATCTTGGTCATCTTGACTGGCCTGATCAACATCATGACCCTTAATATCTGGCCTTGAAAAACCAAATTTTGGAAGTGAAAAGCCTGGCTTCTTCAATTTCACATCAAGCCCTTTCAAGTCAACTTCAGGTATATCTACCTCGCCTTCAATGGATATGTCTTGAACGTCAACATCAGGTTGGGGTAGTATTACCTTACCTTCTGCTAGATGAACATCGGTTTCTCTTATTGTGGCACGTATATCTGTCTCTCTTTCAATTTTTGGTATTTTTCCTGACACCTTGATGTCAGGTTCATGACTAGTAATTTCTATTCCTGTAATGTCCTTATCTGCTGATGGTAAACTTGCTGTACCTTTTGACGTTTTGACTCCAAATTTTGGCAGGTTAACTTCTGGCAGTTTATATTTGGTTGGGGAACTAACAATTGTTAGATCTTTCTGTTCAGCTTCCTTTCCTGGAAATGTAACTTCTGCTGTTTGTTCTTTTACTGGTACATTACCCTCTGGTATGGATACTTCAACCTTTTCTACACTGACATCAACTTCTGGAGTTGCAGTGTTTGGTTTGGAAAATCCAAACTTAGGAAATGAAAAACTAGATCTTTTCGCTTTTACTTGCTGTCCTTTGGAATCAACCTCAGGCATGTCTGCACTCTTTTCAACTTCAGATTCATTTTTGGGTGGCTGTACTTTTAGTTTGACGTCAGCTTTAGAAATATCACTTTTTATATTTGTTTCCTCTAGTTCTGAATCAGTTACATTAATGTCTAATGCTCCTTTTTGTGATTTAACACCAAATTTCGGGAAGCTAAAAGAAGGGAGTCTAAACTTGGTTGGAGATCCAAAAAATGTTGAACCCTTTTGATCAGGCTCCATTGACACTTCAATGTCCATTTTTGCTTCTTCTAGGCCCATACTGCCTTCTGATATGGGGATATCAGTTTTTTGGAGACTTACATCAACCTCAGGGGCTTTTATTTCTGCTTTTGAAACCCCAAATTCAGGTAATGTTTTTATCTGTACATCTAGGCCTTTAAAATCATGTTCTGGTGGGTGAATTTTCCCCTCGGTTGCTATCTCTGTTTTTTTAAGATCGATTTCCTGTAGTTCAGCTATTTCTTCTGTCTTTGATGCACTTAAATCAAACCCTTTTACTTTAGGAAGGTCAATACCCTTCTTCGGCATCTTCAGCTCTCCCCCAAGTCTTCCAAGTTCAGCATCTTCAACCTTTAAGTCAAGACTTACAGATTGACCCTCTGTGGCTAGATGAGGTCCCTTTATATCAGCTGATGATATTTTTATTTGTGTATATGGACCGCTCATTTCAGGTTCTTTAACAGCTATACCTACATCTGGCATAGCTTTCTCTTCCTTCATGGCTTGTCCTCCAGTTTTTGGGATGTTGATTGAGGGGAGTTTAAATGTCGTTGTGGCACCAAAAGTTGTCGTATCTTTTTCCTGAGCCTCAACATTTAACACTGTGATATTCATACTTTGTTCTTTTATTTTCACATCACCTTCTGGTTCAGATATAACAACTTGTGCAAGATTGACATCAGTCTCTGGGGTCTTGACATCGGGTTTGGAAAATCCGAATTTAGGAAATGAAAAGCCTGTTCTTTTCATTTTTATATCTGGGTCTTTTAAATCAACTTCTTGATCTTTTTTGCTTTCTGCTTTAGCTTGTGGTACTTCAGCTCCAGCTGACAGTTCCCCGAGTTTTGTCTCTGGTAAAGAAATATCAACTTCTGCCTTTGATGTGATGGCCTCTGTAAGTGACATGGTGTATTGATCTCCAGTGTCTAGCTTTGGCTGATCAACACTGATTGAGGGTTTCTTCAGCTCTTGACTGGGCACATTAAAGTCAATTTTTACATCTGACGCTTCTACTGATGTAAATGTCTCTTCAGCCTCCAAAGTAATTTCCTCACCCCTCCAATCTGTTATTTCAGTTTTTACTTTGGAAGATGAACTTCCGAATTTGGGTAGCTTGAAAGAAGGAAGTTTGAATTTGAATGGTGACCCTCCAGTGGTTGAATCATCTTTTAAGTCAGACTCAAGATTCACATCCACTTCACCAACTGCCATAGATGGTAGATCACTTCTCTCAACATGACTCTCTGGACCTTTAATCTCTTGTTTAGAAAATGCATGCTCTGAGCTTGGCTCTTTGGGCTTTTTCATCGTTACCTCCATTTTCAAAGGAGCCTCGGGTATGTCTTCATTTCCCTCAGCACTCTCAACGTCATGTTTCAGAGTAGCGTCTGGTGCGCCCTTTTTAAATTCTGGTCCCTTTAGCTTTGCAAATGAAAATTCAAATTTTGGCATCATAAATCTACTCCCTTGACCTCCAGGATCTGTGTCTTGAATTTTAATTTCAGCATCTACCGGTATGGTTTCAATAATTGATTTCGATAGTTCTATTTCTTTATCTTGTGATGCAACTGTTGATGTTGCCTTTATTTCTGACTGTGCATCATCACCAGCTTTTGCAATTGATTCTTCTGCCGTCTTTGAAATGGAAAAGTCATATTTAGGGAGAGAAATTGTTGGAAGCTTGAATTTAGATGGAGAACCAGAAGCACTTTTGTTTTTCAACTGGACTTCAACCTCTGGAGCAGGGATCGTCACCTCAGTCTCTTTGATCTCAGTGTCTGGCATAGATACTCCCCCTTTTTGAAGACTGGTGTTAGCATCAGGGATCTTAGTGTCAGATTTGGAAAAGCCAAATTTTGGAAATGAAATTTTACGTTTTTTAAGTTTTTCTTTTTCTTTAGCCTCTGGGATGACTACATCTACTGTACCTGAAGAAACTTTGACTCCCATCTCAAGTTTCTCGTCTTGCACTTTCGAATCTTCTATAGTTTCTTCTTGATCAAGACCATGACCTACAAGGCTCACATTAACCTCTGGTTTAGAAAATGATGTACACTTTTCAAAGTGTGCATCAAAACCCTTTTCTACCTCTGGTCTAGATACACCCACTTCAGGTTTTGAAACACTGGAAATAATTTGTGGGGTTTTCATTTCAGTTAATGATGGCACTTCTCCAGTCAGTTTGGCTTCTGGAACTTTTATTTCCATGGTGGGTTCATCTGTGGTGACTTCATGCATTTTATTGTCAAAGACTGCATCTGTTGGTTTTGGAAATAAGACACCAAATTGAATTGTGGGAAGTGTACTTTTTGTTGGAGATCTTGGACCTTTCTCAGTCCGGTCAGACTCTGCATTAAATGTTTTGATGTCCATCATCGATTCTTCTTTGTCAATACTATCAGCTGGCTTATAGGCTTCAACCTTTGGAAGGCTAATGCCATATTTTTGGACTGTAACTGTAACCTCCTTGTCTACACTAACACATTGACCTTCTGTAGTCACAAAATAATCCTTGACATCACCTGATGGGGCACCATCTTTGAGTTCCATGCTTATTTGTGTTTCTGGAAGGCTTACATCAGGTTCTTCATTATCTATATCTACAAAGGGCATGTCTTTCACTACCTTGGATGATTTCCCACCACATTTTGGTAAGTTGATAGAGGGGAGTTTAAACTTTACTGGTGTACCACCAGTTGTTAGATCTTTATGTTCCGCATCATCCTTTGAAATTGTGAAATTCACATCCTCTTTTAAATCGAAAGAAACTTCTGGAATGGATAAATCAACCCGTGGAAGACTGACATCAATGTCTGGTTTTGAAAACTCAACAGCTGGAATTTCTTCAATATCATGGTCATTCAGACTAGGATCAACCTCTGGTTTAGAAAATGAAATATCTTTAGCTGATTTTATTTCTTTTTTCTGAAAATCATCAACTTTTGGAATACAAATACCTTTGATTTCTGTTTTTCCCTCAGGTAAAGACAAGTCAACTTCAGGTTTGGATACACTGAGAGTCATCTTCAGGTCGTTTTTGTCCGATAGAGCTGTAGGTTCTACAGATAATTTAGCTTCTGGCAATTTAACAGCCTTTGTAGTTTTATCTGTGATGACTTCAGGCATTTGAATATCAGCCCCAGCATCGGTTGTCTTTGGAAATGAAACTCCTAATTTGGGAAGTTTAATTGTGGGAAGTCTAAATTTTGTGTGAGAATCTGTTGAATCCTTGAACTCAGCTTCAACGTCTGTAGTCTTACTTTCAACATCTAGTTCTATCTCATCTGCACCTTGTGAAGAACCCTGTGCAGTTGGAAGAGTTATGTCAGCATCAGATACTTTTGTCTCTGATTTAGAGAATCCAAATTTGGGAAATGATATTTTCCTTTTCTTCATTTTAGACTCTGTTTCTTTTATTCCAGCTTGTGGTAGTTCAGATGGGTCCACTTCAGTTGTTCCACTGACCTTTATGATAGATTTTTTAGATTCCTCTGGTAACAGACCAGCTTCTTCTGTTTTCGATTTTGGCAATGAGACACCAACATTGATCAGTCTAAATCCACTCTCTTCTCGAGTATCCTCTGCAGCCTCAACCTTCTTGTCAACTTTCCCAACCCTTTCAGGTGTTGAGAGCGCAGTTTCCTCCTGCTTTGATTTTCCCTCTGTCTTGGGGATTTTAGTTTTTGGAACAGAAACATCTATGCTTGGCATTTTTAATTTATTTAAATTTGTGTCTGTTTCTGAACTATATGCTTTGGGATCAGTCTCAGATGTTCTTTTCTCAGAATTTAATGCAATCTCCATTGTGTAATCGTCCACTGTAGCATCCTCTTTTGTAGTGACTTCAGTTGTTCCTTTCAATGATTTCCCTCCAATTTTGGGCATTTTGAATTTAGGCATCTTCTTTTTATGTGGAGAGGAATCTGTGTCTTTGCTTTTGATTTCAACCTTCAGTTCTCCATCAACATCTTGTTTTGAGGTTTCATTAATGCCAGTGCAAACACCATGATGGAGCATTTGATCACCCTCTATATCATGTGCTTGTTTAGTTTCATGCTCAGGTGCACAACTTTCACTTTTTTGAGATTTTTCGAATGTTGCTTCTTTTTTAATGGCTACATGGTCGTCATCAATAGATATTTTTGCTTCAGTTTTCATCTCCTTGATTGCATCACGATCACTTTTAGATGATGTATCCTTTTTTGGTAATTCAATCGCGATACCTGGGAAGCGAATGTCAGGTGCCTTGATCTCAAAACTAGGCATAGATATCTTTGCTTTCTTTGATTTCTTTTCATGTCCTTTTCTCTCAGCTTTGATATCAGTATCAGTATAGTCTTTCACAGCCTCATCTCGTGTGTCTGTATCTTTGGCTACTTTGATTTTTTGCAATTGAACTGATTGTTCAATGGCTTCCATTCCAGGTATTTCAATGTCTTCACGCTTTGGAAGTTTGAATTTTACATCTGGGGAAGTACTTGTCGTATCCCTCACTGACATTTTGTCAGATTTGGGTTTGTGATCTGCTGGCTTAATTTTAGTTTGGTCTGTTTTGCTCTCAGTTACAGTTGTTTCATAAAGACGAAATTGTTCACTTTTAGGTAATAAGATGTCTTGATCCTTTGCAGCAACAGGAGAAAGTCTCTGTTCTTCTTTATCCATTGTGTCAAGTAACTTAATGTTTATTTCTGTGCTAATGTTCGAAAGTTTACTAGGGGATCCTTTAGGTGTCATGCCAGTCTTTTCAGATTTTATTGCGATCTCTCTTTGTACAAGGACTCCTGTAATGTCTCTCTCGGGTAATTTAAAGGCAGGAAATTTTGATACTGCTTCCTTTACATCCTGAACATTAAACACTGCTTGGGGTTTTTCTGATTTTGAGATATTTATTATCTTCTCAACCTTTTGTTCTTTAATTCTAGGAGACTTAAATTTAGTTGTTGATCCTTTATCCTCCTTGCCAGGAATCTCAATTTCCTCTCGTTTCAGGAGAGGCACTTTGTTGGGGTCTCTTTGGCTTATAGTTATTGAGTCTTCATGGTTGAATCCAGAGAGATCCATCTTAGGTAGTTTAAAATCTGATTCCAAATTTGCTTTTTTTATTACTTCAGTGTCAGCCATCTTAGTACTCTCCCCATTTTTATCCACTTCCAGAGCATGGGATTTTGGCTGGGATATAACTGGTTTCTTTGTGTCCATGGCCATTGAGGACACATCTTGTTTAGTTTGAATCTCAAAAGTGAAAGTGTCTGATGATGCAAAAGGGCTCTTTAATGTGGCTATGTCTGCCATTGGTCCCCTGGTTCGAATCCCATAGCTTTCTGTTTCTAGGATGTTTCTTTCTTTCTTTTCCTTGTCGATACCAATTCTTGGTGATTTGCTTATTGGTACATCTGGCATGTCAAAAGAAACATCAACTTTAGTTATATCCATGTCCATTTCTCCTGACTTTTGGGTCTTCTCTACAATCTCTTCAATTATTGGTTTGCTGTCAGAATCAACTTGATGTCCAACTGCTTCAATTTGTGATATTACATTAGGACTGTCCATAATATTGTCGAAGGCTGATGCATCCGAAGTCCGCATCCCACTTGTGGAGGATTTTAATTGGCTCTCTGTTTCTGTCGCATATATATCCTTTCCTGGAATGCTGTCCTTCAGTTCTGATCTCTCTCTCCTTTCTTTGTCATCCTCTCCAAGAGAAACTGTAATATCAGTAGTCTTTGAAGTAGTGTCCAAACTGATGAGCTTAGCCAAATGTAGCGATTCAGTTGCTTGCAAAGTCGGGAATGTATATTCATTCCTTGTCTTAGCAGAGTCAGTATTTTCAGCTTCATTCAAGATTTTAGGACTCTCTAACACATTAATCCCTGGCACTTGCTCTACAGCTATATTCATAATAATTTGGTTGTCCGAGACCTCCATATAGTCTGTTGTCGGTACCTCTTCATTTTCTTGGGTTTCTTCAACAGACTTGCTCCTACAGTCTACCATCCTCATCTTCAGTTTCATCTTGTGTGTCTTTTTCTTCTCTTTTTCATCTGTTGATTTTAATGGAGACTTAATGGGAGATTCTGTGTCACTTGTTGGTGGACTTATCTCTAATTTTCTCTGTTCTTCTGCTTCTGATGTGCTGTGAGATCTCTTAAAATTTGCCCTCCGACCTTTGCTGAAGGTGGGGAATTTGGGCCAAGAGATGCGATCGTGTTGTTTTTTCATCTTTCTTCGACCTCTCATTTCTGGTCCTCCTCCTTCCTCTTCTCCTTCAGCCTCCTCACCCTGTAAACATTGATAAAGCAATGATCAATGACATCTCTAAAGAAGCTTTGCGGTATTCTGTAATTGAATATAATGGACCGTATGATAATTACAATGGTTATATCTGGCCTCATTGTCTCAGCGTCTTCCTGGGTTCTTGGAGGTGGTTTGCGTTTGAGACAGAATGCCACTTTATATGGTTGAGCATGCTCAAGAATCTGGAGGGCGTCCTCATATGACACATTATCAAAGTATACTGTAGCACTAAGAATCTGATCACCTGAAAGGCCAGATGGAAGGACATGGAAGTGAAAAGATGGAGGAACAACAAAATTAGCTGTATTCTAGCTTTAGAAATGTTCTGTAATGTGCTATATGGCATCTCACCTTCTTTCACACTTAGATTCTTTGAGGCCGGTGACTCTGGTTTTACTTCCTTGATGAATATGCCATCCTTTCCCCCTCCACTTACAACCAAACCCTCAGCACAGACTTCTTTTTCAGTTTTCACTATTTCTGACTGATCATTTTGCATGTCCTGAAACAAAAGGCAAATTCATTCAGAAAACTGTTCATAATTTTCATTTTTCGCATTTCTAATCATCTGTATTCTTCACAGGAGAGAAATTTAGGCATGTCTGACCTCTGTTTGATGCATCTTGGCAGAGGAACGCTTGTCAAACAGTGAGCCAAAACCAATCCTTTTGCTTTTTTTGGAACTCTTGGTGGGTGAGTCATAGAAGTCACCTTCAGCCTGGCAAAATAGTTAGCGTGTAATCTATTATATAGTGTATCCTAATAGTTAGATCAGATACAGCATTAGGAAATTCTGAATTGGGGTTATCATACATAGTATTAAAAGATAAGGGTGTTGTGTAAAATAGCAGTCACCTGTTTTTCGTATTTTTCTGTGGTGGGGAATTCCTCAACAGGAGAGGAACCCTGAGGACGAGGTCTTTCCTCCTCTAAAACTTCAGGCTCCTCACATGCCTGTTACATTAAAGATACCAATTAAGGATTGTTCAAACAATCAACCAGTTTAAAAGAGATAAAATAACACGTGCATGTTTGCTGAATCTGCTGTACTTGAGTGATACTCACTAAATCATCCTCTGTGTCTGGTTCTGGTCCCTTCAGCCTTCGCCCTTCACCTGTTGGGGTGAAAAATGCAGCATAAGCACTTGTTATGCTTCTGCACACATGACTTAAATTTAAAGAATCTATCCTTAATGCCAAAAGCCTGCTGGTCATCAGTACCATCTATACCTTAATCAGTTTTTACTGATTGGAGACTTAATGTGGGATTTACTGTATTTAATGGACCAAAACGTTTGAATCTGAAGAGTTGCAAGGCAAATCTAAAGCAAGATTTTTGTATGCAAGATTTCCTGGTAGATATTCCCACGGGATCCAGATAGTCTACCTACTTCTGTTGCTTCCTGTAAAGTGAGGCACTCTATTGATCTTAAGGGGTTGGCTTACACTGCCAGCAATAAGGACAACATAGAAACATGGACCTCAATAGATCCAATAAAAGAGCTGTGAAACTAATATTGTTATAAATATCTGCAAATGTGATATTGTTATAAAATTAATGATTAAATACAATTTTAAAAATAACATAATTTTACAGCATTAAGAAACACTTTTAAAAACATTATACAATAGATCGTTTAAATATTGCTTATACCATCAACAAGACTGCTCTCATGACCTCCTTTCTTCTGAGAAAGGCATTCATTTCCAGTTTCCCATAACACAATGCACTTATCCACATAAACATTTTCCTTGTGTCTCACTCTGCGCAGGCCATTAACCTGCACTTTCCAACAAGCACTTATCCAGGCATCAGGTCTATATGGCATTAAAGCACATTGGAGATTTATGTATGTGCATGTATGCCATGTAGCCCATGAATAGTATGATTACACTAGGAGATTGTCAGACTCTCAGACTCTAAACTTGGGAATGCACCCATGTATAAACAGACCAACTATGCGCAGTTAATTAATAGACTTATTAAAAGGGAGGAGAAAAATCTTCCCATATCTTTTGTTGACGTCAAAGGCTTTGTGAACAATCCAAATCAATGGTTTTAAACTGTCATTCTGTTAGTAGGCAGATCCCAACATTGACAGGTTACAATACACACCCTTATCTCTAAAACAAAACAAAATTACGCCTTTAAGTTTTATTAAAATTAAGCTCTTTGAACCCTGTGTTTAACCAGGTAAAGTACCCTACTATGCTAAGCACTGGCTTTCATAATAACTGAATGATACAGTGAGAAATAAATAAGCCCAAGTGATATGCAAAACAATAGGAGCTATTAGTTAAACAGGTCACATACTGTGTTCGTCCAATCAATGATATTGGCAAAACCAATGGTTTGAAGGGATACTCCACTTTTGATACTCTTGGGATACTCAACACTTGGGATACTCAACAGTTGAGTTTCACCGTTTTTAAATGCATTCAGCCGATTTTCTGATATTTAGTAGAATATCAGTAACCAGACATTTTCTGGTCTCATTGACTTCCATAGTAGAAAAAAATATACTATGGAAGTCAATGGGACCAGAAACTGTCTGGTTAATGATCTCCTTCTAAATATCAGAAAATCGGCTGAATGGATTCGAAAACGGTAAAATTCAACTGTTTAACTCAGGGGGAGATATAAAATGAGCCCATTTCCAAAAAAAAGGTGGAGTATCCCTTTAAGTATACTGATGTATATAGGAGAGATCAGGGATAAATTGTGAGATTTTGGTCTAACAATTATGATGAACAAGCAGATGAATGACATACCTGTGGTTTTGATGTTCGATATGTCATGTTGCAGATCAACAAGTTTCAACAAAGTTTTTATTCTTGCTGCTATTGTAGTTAAACAGGCTTAAGATGTTTTGTTCAATTTCAGCTTTATAATATCTGCCCAAAACCAACTCAGTGAATTTAACTATCTTAAACAACAGGCCTCAGTATCTTTTGTTATTTTTCCCTGACTGTTTTCCGGCTCCCCACATGTGTCAGGTTGGGAAGGATTGGGAACTTACTGATAATTTGTAACATAGATATAAGTTTAGTGTACAGGGTAATTTAGTTATTATAATGAGTTATTATAGGAAAATAAAAAACATTTGCTTATTTCAAAGTTGTATAGCGAAAAATATTACAAGAGGGGTAAGGTGTCATTAATGTAAAATTCTAAATAAACTATTTTATTTCAAATTTTATTTTAACAATTAATAATAATAATATTAATAAATAATAAGTTATTAATAATTGAATAACTGATGACAGACCAAGCAGAATTCCAGTAAAAAGTATAATTATACTATGACTTATATAGGCATATGAATATTTACTTACTTAATTGCCCATCATTTAATTGAAGATATGGGTTACACTTTAAAGGTGTCCTTGTTACTGTGTAATTATACATTTTAGTTCAGAATAATATTTTTTAACTACATTTATGGGGTTAGGATTAGGTTTAGGGTTAGTTGCATGGTGCAATTTATTATATGTATAATTTATAGTTATTATTATAGAAACTAATATAAACATAATGTTACCAAGATATTTCATAATAGCAACACTATGAATGCAAATTTATTGATTTTGCTCAACTAATCAATAGATTTTAATGAAATAGAAGATGGCTGAAATGTACATCGAATTCATGGAAATAATGAATAATAATCCAGTTGATTGCAATAATTATTAAATTTTAAAATAATAACACTAGAAACAGTATGCCACTTGGGGCCTTCTGTGCCAATTCTAACAATAGAAATAATCAATGCTCCACAAATCTAAAAACCCTAGTGTGTCCCCAAATCCCTCATTAACAAATAAACAAAAAACTTTGATATTTAGCATAATTAAAATTAAATAGATCACTATTTTCACTAACCCTAACCTCAAAACTGTTTCAGCAGACTTAATCTCACAAATGTTGATATTCAGTTGAAATGAAAAAATTAAATTAAAGGTGGTACTATATGTAACAATTATGAATACAATACATACAAAAATTCCTTTAAAGGCCATTGTCCATCATTAATACAGTGCAGTATGTAAAATGTAAGTTATTTAAAATGCAAATCAACACCAAAAAGTTTTGAAATCATTCCTGGGCTCTTATGCTTCAAATATATGTTTTCATTTACATATTTAGAAATAAATATGTGAGCTCTGCTGTTAGTGTTGTGCAATCAGTTTAAGCTTGTGTCTGAATGTTCAGGTAACATGTACTAATCACCTTTTTGCTTTTCACTTGCTTTTTTATGTTACTGACATATCTAGATTCTTGACGTACAAACACTAAGAAAAATCCATGTGCCAACATCAAAATAGCCTAAATTAAATCTATAAAAAATTTATATTTATAATGCGTTGTATTTATAAAACATCATGTTTGCGGCATTTTAATGATTCTGAAAAATGCCTCTCCTGTTAACCATTAAAGGTTAATAATATTAGGTTTGTACCTACCTGATCTGTGGTTTACTTGGAGGAATATATGTTTTACTCCAGATAGTAATTCACCTAGTGTGCAGCAAGAATGGACAGAACCATTTGTGGGTATAGTTTTAGTAGAGAAGATGAAGGGCCCTGCCCTTTTTTTAAAGGTATGACAAACCCTGTTTCAGGGCTGTGGTTCAAGCTCCTGCTAATGCTATTGTGCTGAAGAACAAACATGTGAATGTGTTGCATTGCTTGCACAGTTCACAAATGTGAGATGTGAGATTTTAATGTTTTTTCTAAGCAAAGAACTGTAATGAGGGTGTTTATGTCCCTCTGTTCTCCAATGAATGTTTATTTTGTTTAAATTTGAGTTGAAGGACATAGTTATGACATTAGTGTACAGTGGGATGTGACTGCAGAATGAAGACAAGATCTTGTGCAGTTTAGGGATATTGTGCTGTGCTTTTAGTCACACAATGAATAAATAAACAATAAGAGCTCAAAGAATGGATCAGTTACACAATGAGAAGCAAGCTGTTAATCTCATAATGACAGTATGCCTCTCTCTCTCTTTCTTTCAATAAATATTTGAACCATATTTATTTGTCTTTAACTGATCTGGAGTGCTATTGGATTGAATTGTTTAAGAAATTCAAAGTTAGCAAATTCATAACGTAGTTACTCCCTAATCAAACATTTGCTCATTGGGTGCTCCTCTAAAAGTGATAAGAATGTGTTTTATGGAAGTGACCAAACCAAACTAAAGTCGTTATTTTTGTTGTTTTTTTTGCGCACATAAAGTATTCTTGTTGCTTGATAAAATTAAGATTGAGCCACTGTAGTCACTCGGACAATATTAACAATGTCTTTACTAACTTTTCTGGCCCGGCAGATGCTATTACCCAGTGACCCATGACCATGAGCGAGTGATCCAGATTTCATCAAAGAAAATCTTAATTTGTTTTCCGAAGATGAACGAAAGTCTTCGTGGGGGAATGGAACAACATGAGGGAGATAAATTACTGACAGAATTTTTGGGTGAACTAACCCTTTAAAATTGCGGGAATTCGAAATTCTTTATGTTGAATTCCCGCAACTTATTTCGAATTCTTTAATTGTGACTAATTTTTCAGAATTCAGACTTTATATCACAATTTGACCATAATAAATCACAATTGTGAGTTTATATCTCACTATTATGAGAGATTAAGACAGAATTGTGTTTATTACAAGTTTCTGACTTTTTTCTCAGAATTAAGAGATATATAAACCTGCAATTGCAAGTTTTCAAGTAAGAATTACAAGATGTAAATTACCAATTGCGAGTTATTAAGTCAGAATTGTATTTTTTTTTTAATTCTGTGACGTAACAAGCTTGTTTGGAGCAACAGGCGAGTAAATAATGATTTTTTTAATATTTAGGTCATTTACTTATTATATCCACGATTAATCATTTAAAAATGCAATATTAAGTCCAAAGGTCCAAATCTTTTAGAGACCTCCTTAACTGAAGTATTGTGCATGTGGTATTCAAATTACAACAAGATTAGTACAAGCATGGACTTTCCCAACTACTGATCCTGTATATTTGCACATCACCCATGACCAAGATTACAGGCATTAGAGGTTGTTGTCTGCTCCTGTGGCCATATGGACCCAGAGCTCTGCTCCTTCAGCTCACTAATATGGTTAATTAGCTTCTCAGCAAGTTGCAGGGAGAAGGAACATCAATTCTGGCTTACACTCATAACATCCTACACAAGCCTCTTTCAGTCAAGTGGGAAAGACTTGTTTGTATTCAAAATATAATTGAATTTTAGGGCCGGAGAGGGAAAATAAACTGAAAACAGAATTGGATTTTCTTCCATATTAAGAGAACATGGGACCAGTTTACCTCATGTTTCCAATCAATCAGGAACTATATAAATGTAACAATTATTTGATACATTTATGTGCCAATGAGATAATGCCTTTATAATTGATGGATTAAAGATAGAGTTCTTCTAGAAATAATTCTGTCATCTTCCCAATTATTACTCACCCGCATGCCATTACAAACTTGTATGTTTAATAAATAATAAGACATTTTCAAAAGTTTTGTTTTCCTCCATACAATGAAAGTGAATGTTGAATGGAACATATTAACAAAATATATTGAATCATTTAGGTTTGGAATGGCATGAAGTTGAATAAATGATGACAGAATTTTCTTTTTTGAATTAACTTTCCCAGTAAGTATCTCACAATATGGTGAAAAAAAACAAAAACAAGGTCATAATTGTATACTTATATTATCAGTTCAGATATACAAAACCTATGTTCAATTTCATGAAAAATGCAAACCCTCTCAAACTTATCATTTATTCATTAGCAGGAGGACATTAGTGAGATGCTGATAGTTATTACTTATTTTAGGAGTGGACTCCTGTGCATATAAGTATTTTATGGACTGCGTATCCACTAATGTTTGTAGAGCTTCTCTATAAAATAGCTTTTTTTTACTTTAAAATTGCTACAAATAACTAAATTTAATATGTAAAATCGTGTTAAATATAGATTGTTGTTTCACTTTATAAGGTAACCAGACAGGTTACTATAGCATTGCCCATTCTTTTTACGTTGTGCATATAGCAGCTGGACAATTAATGCATTCATTTTGATTGAATTTTGATTTATCTTGCATCAATTTTCACACTTTGAGAATCTGAACATAGAGACAGACTTTATTTGGGTGGAAACTAAATTTTGACAAAATATTGCTACCTAAGTACAGCTGTATATAGAATAATTTTAAGTATACTGACATGATATCCTTGCAATGTACTCATCTTAGTGTGATCGTAATTCAATCATTTTCTTAGATAGCACAGGTTGTGTGTTAATGCAATCTCACAAACGTTCAACATAATGGAAAAGCTCTAGAATGAAACATTGTATAAAACCAGAGCACAAAAACATTCTTGGTTATATATATAGCAATTAAGCTGTCATGCAGCTGTTGAATTGTGAGATGTATTGGTTGCTCATTGCACCCTGTAAGATCACTAAAATACAGCTGTTGTCTCATTTAGGTTACTTTAAGTGTCAGTTTCCATAGCTTGAACTTCAACTGAAGGTCAAAGAAAAAAAACAAAACTACAGATAAATCTGCTAGTTGAACTGGATTGGACATGTTGACCAAATGACTTAGAGAGGTTTGGTTAACAGGCTAATTGGATTTCAAAGTCTTTGTAACAAAGCCAAAAAGAGTCGCTACTGTAACATAGAATGAAGTGAAGTGTTAAAACGTTAGACAAAAAAGGTACATAATAAGATATACACATATACCAAAGACACCACAATGTGTGTGTGTGTGTGTGCGTGTATGATGGCTCCCTCATTCTTGTGAATTTGATATATTATATTTATTTCAGAATTAATTATACCTATATATGTATGTATAAATAATTATACTATACATATAATTTTATGAAATATAATTATATATTTAATTATATATAAATTACGTAATTATATACATTAACGTATATAATTATATTTATAAAAGTATTTGTTATTTATTTATTTATAAATGTATTAATATTTAAATATTTATATATATAATATATATAATATTTTATTAATATATGTGTGTGTGTGTGTATGCATATATATATATATATATATATATATATATATATATGCACACAGAAATAAAACTGCGCACCTTTTCAAAATAAATTTTACTGTAAAAATACAATAAAATAAGACCTCAAGCTTACGTACGCCCTTGTAAAGAGCACAATCATAATTCAGCAATTCTTAAACGCTCTGAAATCATGCTCAATATTGTAAACAAACACACTGCAGATGCTGTTGATAAAATACTGCATAACTCTGTCAACACACCCACGTCCACATAGCCACGCCCCCTTTACTGCAGACACACCCAGATCACACACAGTGCAGCGTCATCTCGGCAGAGAAATGCAGTGATGCTTGTAAACAAGCTCAGCACTAGTGTCTCAGTAGCACACACATGCATAGTCCAACTGCAACATTATATTGTCCTGCCACCAGAGGTGCTGAGTGCGGAGATAAAAATAGCGCAGAGCAGGCAGAATGAGACAGAGCGAGAGAGAGAGAGAGAGAGAAGAAAAGCTAAAGAGACAGAGCAAAATAAAGAGTGATGCCCACCCGTGGCTGACGCATGCCAGTTGGGAAATGCCAGGTGAAAACAGTCACACATGATGGCTGTCTCCTCTGGATCTTGATCTGGTTTCTGGTGATGTCCTGTTTCGAGCAGCCTCACTCTCTTCCTCCGGGTCTAAACAACCTGCTTCTTTTCTCCTCTCAGTCCGTCACTCCAGATACAAGGACAAAATAAAGAGTCGGTGAATGATAGCAAAGTCAGTCTGACTTGGTATGTGAGGGATGGACGGAGAAAGATGTCTTGCTCCATCCACACAAGTTTGTCTCAGGAGTGAAGCTGCACAATCTCTAACACGCTAAAACGATTAAAGGGGGTATGGCTGACTTGGGATGGGGGGGCTGTCCTAAACAACACAAATCCCTCCTTCTAAGCACCCCACTCCACCCTCCTGATCACTTTGACCAGTCACTGCAGAGCGTCCACCAGCCTATTGGTTCACCGCACAAGAAAAACATTCCAGCTTCATAGACATGCGGCAGAGATGCGTAATTGGATTTGACACCACACAGTACATGTTTTCATGTGTGATGGGCGACTAAGGGGAACTGTGGACGCTGTTTGTCAGGTGACTGTGTTTAAGAGCAGTTGTTTGGCTGAGCTGCATGTCTGATGACAAACTTTACATGTATGTGTAGTTTTATCCGATATAGTGTTGGGAGACGTGAATGTCTTCCCTTGTTTCGGCACGACTCCGTCCTTCTGAGAATGGCCGTTGAGACCATGGCTAAATTATTTATCTAAGAATAAAAAAATGATCTCAGATGGCTGCCAGACTGTGACGTCAACCTGAGACCAGTTCAGTGCGCCGGATTGCCACAGCGACAGCGGTCATAATTTATGGCCTTTGTGGATCTAAATCAAATCAGTTAAAAGAGAAGTCTTGATTTTTTTTCACCTCATGAGACAGAAAAATCACAAATAAGAGCTCCTCGGTATCTCATCTTTTGTTACGCAGTTATATTTGACATTGCCGCATTCTCCTATTTCTCTGATTTTATTCCCTGGGAAACCTATAATAATCTCAAATGCATCTCCTCTAGACTTTCAGTAGATCTCGATAATAGCTACATTTACGTGCATCAAAATAAACTCTTAGGAATCAGATTGATTGCTCAGTCTGACTGAAAGCACCTCAATAAATCTAATTGAGATCGATCCAAATGAAGTGTAGACCTGAAATAATCCAATCTAAAGACGAAAATGAATTATGTAAATGCTTGAATACGACTTTCTCAGTCGGATTCAAAAATGCCTTGCATACATGCGTAATGGCAAGATACATCTTGAAAATGTGAGTATGTTTATTTACTTCTCACGTCTTGATAATGTCATGCATAAGAAGACTTTTTTTTTTTTCCTGTCCTGGACTCGGTCTTGACTCGGACTCGAACCTTTTTGGACTCGGTCTTGTCTTGGACTCGACAAAGGTGGTCTTGACTACAGCCCTAGTCGAATGTAATCTGGACGCACTACATCTGCCATGTTGTCCTTATCATGTGACCTACCAGCGTCAGCGCCCCTCCATTCATAAATCCTCTCCCGTGGCCTCATGGGATAGTGAAGTGTCCTTTGAATGCGCACTTCAGAATCTGGAGACTTTATATGTATTCTTATTTTAGTCGGATATACTACTCTGTTGGCACACTGTATTTTCACAAACGAATGCGATTTCGGATGCAGCCCGCGTCTTTTACGTAAAAGTTGTTTTACAGGCTTTTAACGACAAGGAAGTTTGGGGAGGTCATGTTTTTTAAGTTTCGGTACAATTATTTACACATTGGCTAGATAAAAACAATGAATACATGAAAATCCTCACATATAGCCCTTTTAATGTGATAATTAGTGTGATTACCAAAAAGGCTGAATTCTGTTTAAAGAGGCTTTCTATAAAGTTTAGCAAAGTCATTCGAAGGCTGGCGACAACATGATACATTCCTGAAAGATTTTGATCAAATTTATCTGTAAAATCTTGTGTGGCAAATAAGACATGGTTTGAAGTTTGGAGTATTTATGTATAGACATATATTCCCTGCTATGCATGCGTGTGTGCATGCATGCATTATTGATTCGGACAGTTTTGCCTTAGCGTCTTGTAAACAGAAGGATCTCTGTGTTTCATATTCAGCACAGATGTCCATTTCTCTTTATGTGTCTGCATCTGAGACAGGGAGTGGCAGGATGATACTGCATTAGCCACTGGCTGCAGCCCAAGAAACTCCACACCGAAATCAATTTGGGCACTTGAAAAAAACAGAATGCCCTGCCACCATCCTTGCCTACACTTCGTCTGCCAAGCGTACGGAGACATGCATCTTCAGCCATTATGCACCACATATTCTGTGAATATTAAAAAGGTAATTCATCCTCTAAATTATTTATTTATATATTAACATGCATTTGCTGCCACAAATTCAGTGCCATGTACCGACCTTCCGCTCATGTGGAAAGTTTGAATACGGTAGGAATCAAAAGACTGTTGTAGGGTTTTTGCTGATAAGTAGATGATTTTAATCTAATGCAAATAACACTTTTTTTAACCATTTACAGAGACATTGATTCTGGAGCAACCTGTTGCTTTGGCTCAATGGACTTCATAAAGAGAAGATGCCATATTTCAAGGGGAAATGAAGCAGTCAATCAAGTTTACATGATTTACAAGATGGATTTCCACTATAATAATCAACAATTATATAAGAAACATGACAAATGTAAACATATAAAAGAAAAAAAAAAAACAACTTTATTTCTTTCGCCACCAGGGCGGCGCCATTGTGCAGTATTCTAACATGTGACGTCACAGGGTTAATTTGGCTCAGGCTCTGGGCAGTGAATATCGCGACATCAAACTGTTTACACCAGTGTTTTGACCGTGAACGACTAATGTTAGGCACAGTCATTAGACAAAAAGATGACGTCTAATGTTATATGTTAGAAACATTGTTCACGATGTCTGCCATCATATTCCCGTCTCGTCCTGTAGTTACTCCAGGATGAGCATCCTGAGGTAGAAACATAACATTTCAGAACATTTTATGCGAAAGATGATCATGTATACCAGTATTACATCAAATAATGATTGTAGTAGAAGTTTATGAGAAGCATTATGTGAATGCTTGGCTAAAGAGGTGTGTCTTTAATGTATATTTAAACTGACAGAGAGTGTGTCTGCTCTCCGTACTTTATCAAGAAGTCTATTACAGAGTTTAGGAGCCAAATATGAAAAAGCCCTTAGTAGACTTGATATAGTAGTATAAAAAGTAGTTTAAATTTGTAATGGAACTGTACTCTCTTTAACTATGCTTAAGTGGCCATTTATTTTATTTCATTTCATTAATATTATATTATCTGCCAGTAGAGGTTTTTAAAAATATACTTTTAAAATTTGAAGTACTCTACAAGTGCACATTCAATAAAATGAAGTGCACTACTTTTTTTCACAAAGAATATCTGATGTGGAAAGTCATTTTAAGAGCATGGTAGTTTGAAACATGTTCCCGTAACCAACCCAATCCTCCTTCTGGAGAGCTACCATCCTGCAGAGTTCAGCTCCAACCCTGATGAAACATACTTGAAGCTAATCAGGGTGTTACTTGAAAGTTATACAGGCAGGGTGTGTTAAAGCAGGGTTGGAACTTGGAACTGAAATCTCCAGGAAGGTTGCTTGACTACCTCTGATATACTGGTATAACATGCTGTAAACATGTTACTCTGGTTCAATTAAATCCGGCATAAAAGACGAGTTATAGACATCACATGATAAACATCACGATTAAAATCTTAAGTACCCCGGGACGTAATTGGACAATAAAAAAGTGATGTTTTACTACATTGAAAACTGGATTGAAAGGAAGGGTTTGAAAATGTTCAATCAGCTGAAAGTCATTTCAGACTAGATAAATTACAAAGACAAATGATCTTATTTGGTATTTTGTTTTGTACCGTTTCCTAATCTATTTATTTGTTTTACATTATTTGGCATATCGTTTTTCCCATTCAGTCTCTTGTTCTCTACATGTCCAGTGCATCATCCAAAAATACTGCTGTTGTTTCTATATGAAACTGATACTACTGCATTTGGAAGACGTTGCACGTTTTTGCAGAATCTGCAACTTTTGTTGGAAGTACTGAGAGTATGTATACGGATGGCCTGCATGCAACATCCATTTGTGTGATCCTTTGAGACCAAAAGTACTCAACTACTTTGTGCTGCACTATAGTTGCAGAAGAGCATCTCTGAACGCTCAACACATCTAACCTTGAAGCAGAGATGGGCTACAGCAACAGAAAACACACCAGTATCCTGTCAGATAAGAACAGGAAACTGAGGCTACAGTTCACACAGGCTCACCAAAATTGGACAATGAAAGATTGGAAATAAATGTCTCGATTTCTGGGATTTCTGGGATATAAATACTGTTTTCTCACACAAACTGCTCGTTTCGTGTCTTAGGCCATCAATGTGTACTTACATTTACGAGTCATTAAATCATGTTTAATTTTGACTTCTCTGTGCATGTTTTTGGTGGACCCCCTTTGCCTCCAGTGTATGACTGATGGACAACAACGGTTTGACTGAAAAATGTCAAAATTGAAAATACTGTGGAAACAAAGACACCTACATCTTGGATGCCCTTGAGGTAAGCTAAAACATATCAAAAATTAATTTCAAAGTGAACTATCCCTGTAAACTGAGAGAATGTGCGTTCACAGACACCAGAATGAACGTGTTCAGAGTAAAGGCCAATTTATACTTCTGCGTAGGGTGCGCGCAGTAGTTACGACGTAGCATACGCACAGACGCGTACCATACCGCGTACACTTCGCCGTAGCCTGACGCGCACCTCCTCAAAAATTTAACCACACGTCGTGACGACGCGGACCGCAAGATCAGGGATTGGTCGGCTTGGTAGCATCGCATTTCCTCCTAGACATTTCCGCCGTGTTCTTCTGCACCGCCCGCCATTTTTAAATTCTAAGTTCAAAAAAAGACTAAGAGAGAAACATGGAAATTGAGTAAGTGACCAAGCGATTCTCCAACATGATCCGCTCTCTTTCAGTCGCCATTGCTTGTAGTAACCTAGCCGCTAGGAATCTAAACACAGTGGAACTTAAAAAACCCTCCGCCGCCAACTAGCGTTTCGGAGCCGTACTGCAGAGCAACCAAGACCTGAACGCAGAAGTATATATGCTCACGACGTACGGCGTACCCTCGACGCAGAAGTATAAATTGGCCTTGACTTTAAATAGGGCAGTAATACAGTACGTTCAGTTCACGTTCGCCTATTGTTCATCTATCTATTCATGTTCACTATCGTTTAATCAACGCGTTGTGGGAGCACGCACAAAACACTATTAAACACAAAACACAGTACCTTAGCATGTGCATGCTGTCTCTGTTTTCAAAGATTTGCATTTTTGTAGTTTACACGTAGCAATATGGGTTTCAAAAACGTACATTTTGAAAACCCATATTCAAAAGTTTGCATTTTCATCGCCACTAAACCATGTAAATGAACGGCCAAAACACAAAAAGTTCAGTTTTTTGTTGAAAATGATGTCCAAAAATCCCCCAATAAATATGTGTGTGCATAAAAAAGTTCTGACCAAATCACTGACAAAAATATACCATTACTGTCCTGTGACTGCACTGACAGAATTAACAATTAAGTTAAAAAAAAAAAAAAAAAAGTTGAATGAATCCACTGTTGACTCTCTTTTCGTGACCTTTGAGGACAAGGTTAGCATGCTTGGAATACTTGGTTTGTTTTGAAAATTGGAGCCGGAGAGAGGGAAATTGTTAAATTACAAACAATTTTATCTAGTTAATGAGGGTTTTCTTAAGGTAATTCCAAATGTACACTAGACTATAGTGATGTACATTGTGTAAAACAACATATAGCTATTTAACTGAGCACAATAAGGCCATTCATTTCTAGCTCCCTGACATACCATGGGAAACGTTTAATTTAATGGACAACTGAAAATATTAGTGTAGAGAGAAAAGTGAAGGTAATGATTAATACAGCGTTGTAAATTAGCTGATTATAATTCATTTTTAGAGCTAATTGAATTGGTGAGGGGAGGGCATAGATGTTTGTCTGGGGGAAACCCAGGATGTTCGAGGTTATGCGATGTGTTGTTCACTGTAACTTTAGCCACAAGATGAGATCATGTGTTCTGGAGAGAGAGAGGTCAGAACGATGTCATAAAAATCATAACGACTTCTTTAAGTCACGTCGCTAAATTTTGAAAAAAAAAGCAGGCATTTTTTTTTTACTGAGGAACTTATTTTGACAATTCGATTCTTGTAGATAGAGTCTGCCAGACTAATTCTGGCCGGGAATGAATAAAATAAAGACAGAGCAAGAGGGAACGCAGTGGACGATCTGACTCGGCTTATTCAAACATCAGATTTATTTGATGAGGATTGATGAATGCATTTATACCCGTCTCCCTTCACAGTAAAATAAGTCAATTGTCTGTCTCCTAATATCATTGCTTTTTGACTGACCAGAGACAAGACATAAATGCCATTTTGCAATGTTTTTTTGAGCCATATAACTGCAATGATTCCAGTCCCACCACACCAATATATGCATTCAATTGGCTCTCTTGCATATACATTTTTAATGAGTCACATCAGTGCAAAGTTGTATTACAAAAACAAAAATATCATCAGGGAGGGAGATTGTGGTGTCAGACCATTTATGTGGATACTTGTTAGATATTGAAACAAGCTCCTGCCTCAATTTAACAATTAAGTCTTTATTTTAATGATTCATTTATACAGTGTAGCTTAGTGCAGATACATTGAAGGCACCATCAATTGAATGATATCATAACTCTCATAAAAAGCCTCAAAGAAAATAACCACCAATACAACTTTAAAACCATAGCACTTCATAGTACTAATACTTTTTGTCTAAACAAAAGATAAAAGATGGAAACATCAAGGTTTTCAAGTTATTAAAAGCCTTTAAAATCTGTTAATAGTATAAAGTGATTGTGTCTCTCCAAAAGACTTGGATTATACTGCTCGATTCTAATGAATTGCTTTCACAAAGTATTTATGAACTTTAAGTTTTGGGTGAATGGACTTTCAGTGGGGGACAAAAATATCTGTTTCGAAGACGTACGCAAGTCTTTTGGGTTTGGAATGAATTTAAAAAAAAAAAAAAAAACCAACATGCTAAAACAATTTAAAACATCATTACTGTGTAATGTTGGTGCCTGGACTACAGGCGAAAAACTGAATATGGACAACCGATGACAAACATAAACTGCATTAACAAAGATGAACAGTGGCTAAAAGTTGATGAGTAGGGCAACACCCCACAGGATAGTGGCTGAATGCCACAAAACTACAGCCTCTAAACAACAGAATTGAATCAGTGCCTGTGTGACCCAGACTCAACACAAACTGCGGGTCGCGACTTCACAAAGTTGAAATTTATGGCAGTATTGCCATTTAAAGACCACTTGTATCCAAGGCCAACGTGCAAAGATGTGTAACCTGACATAAAAAACACAATACCTTGGGTTCAGGATTATAATTCAAGAGTTTCATGAACACCAAATGCCAGCAGCCTTCCCAGTCACCATGCAAACACATGATGACATGGTGAGGTCATGTGACAATGATGTAGAGAGTCGTTGAATCAAACAGAAAGTAATTCATTTAGGTGCTGCTAGCTGTACTTTCACAACCCTGAGTTGACAAGTTTAACAATTTCTTTAAAATGTTTTTGGCTAATTTGGTTTACTTCACTGTGTGAATCACTCGAACCACCTTAGCAAAGGCATTAACTGTGCTGCGCATAAATTATTTAAAGAAAACCGGGTTTTGCAGATTTGGACTGTTTTTGAAATGAGCTTTAAATGAAAGAATACCAAAGAAAAAAAATCTATTCAGTGACTCAGCATCTTGTTGTGTTGACCAGGATACAATGATTTGATTCATATCGTTTCATTGCCCTCTAGTGGAGCAGTTCATCAGACTCATGCTAAATGCAGGATGATAACTGCTGTCATTGAAGAGAGACAATGGCAAACTGAATTGTGAATGTAATGGATTTATTTCTTTAACAAATGTATAAATGTATAAAACAATGATTTTGATTGTTCTTAAAAGTATTACAAACACTATATGATGCTATACAAGTATAAGTATATATTAAGTTAGTTATTATTACAATATAAAGGATCCTTCTGCTGATGTAGTTTATTTTTAACAGTGATAAATGGAAGCATGTTGACACACATTAGTGTACACTGGTGTTAATTAGGAGCTTTTTGCCCCATTTCCCTCCAGCTCTTCCACAGCAGCAAACCTTGGCTCTTACCCTTAGTGACCAGAAAGCGAGGTAGTTTATAGCCATTAAACTGGCCCACTCCATCATCCTTACCCATAGCTATCAGCATAGTTACATTTCCTGAATGGGAAATATACATAAATTGAAAAATACTAATAAACAACTCATTGAGAAAGCAGTCTGAATTGTATGCATTGTAAAAGAACTTTAAGAGATTAACCTTTTAAAAGTGAACTCACTAAAGACAGCTGAAGCAAAATCATTGGCTTATGGTTGTTACCTGTGTGGTATGAGGTTAGAGGTTTTCCTGACAGACTGTTGATGATATTGGTGGCAGCTACTCCAGCATGAAGTCCAGCATGATACGCCAACTTGGGTTCATTGACATTGGCACAGTCACCCACACCATATACGTTGTTAAAGCCTTCTACTTGCAAGTGCTTGTTCACCTTCAGAGCACCAGCCTCTGTCAGAGATGCGGCTGAAATAAGAACACAAAACATAAACAGAGAGCGAGATGATGAAAAATCAGCCAATTAAATTAGGTTATATGACGGCATGTAACTAAAAGTCAACAAAGAATTGATTGATATAACATTTTGCATCACATTTTCTACAGTTAGCAACTGCACAAGTACGCAATCCTAACCAGGGTTTGAAAAGCATTAGTTTTTAATAAAATAAATCCATATCAAACAGATAATTGGTTTTACCGATATCGCAACATGACTTTTGCGTAAACATACAAGTCAATAATCGGGTATTGGTTTTGTTACATCGAATTAAAATGTAAATGGCCCCATCTTGTGGAAGTTTTGAGAATTGCGAGCAAAACTGCCATTTAAGGGATAATTCACCCAAAAATGTAAATTACCCCATGATTTACTCACCCTCAAGCCATCCTAGCTGTACATTACATTTTTCTTTCAGACAAATACAATCGGAGTTATATTAAAAAAATGTCCTGGGTAATACAAGCTTTATAATGGCAGTGAATGGGAGGCCAGAATTTGAAGACGAAAAACATTCATCCATCATAAATCGAACTCCACATGACTCGAAGTGAAGCAATGTGTTTGTGTAAGACAAATATCCATATTTAGAACTTTATCGACAATAACAAGCTTCTAGCAGATGGCCTACGCAAGTTTACTAAACACCCATTAATGCACAATTGTGATAATGTTATACGCTTAATTTGTAGTTTTTGGCACTAAATAAATAGACACTCCCAGAGTCACGTAATTCATCAAGACATGTTTCAATTAAGACGTACGTTTATATGAATTAAATAAAACAGCCATGTTGCAAATAATACTGCTGAATTTAATTCTCAATCTGTATGACGGCATGTTACTAAAAGTCAACAAAGAATTGAGTGAAATTTTGCATATCATACATATAAAATTTTCTACGCTTAGGAACTGCACAAGTATGCAATCCTAACCAGGGTTATGCATCTGTTGGAAAGATTTGAGGGTGCAGAATTCATATTCACATGTAGTATATAAATATAGATTTTACTAATGCATTAACTTTCTGTATGAATTACCCATCATGCACACAAAATATGGGGTATTCGAAAAACATCAGAATACACTATGTTTCAAATCATGTTTAAATGTCACCTGTAGAAATGTGCAGTTAATTTGCATATATTTAATAAAAGAATATTTTATGGACCATAGAGGAATTATCTCAACAAAATTATCTCAACAACATGAATCTCCACATTATCTCAACTAAAGCAACTATTAGCCCATTTATTACATGTAAAAAGCACTTACTCAGACTGGACCTGTATGCTTCAGAGTTGATCTTACTTCCTGTGCAGCAGATGACAAGATCGGCGGTGACCTGCTCGTTCTTATTGGTCTTGACCACCATGCCTCTCCGACATACATTCAATTCCAGCTCATCAAGGTTCGAAACTTTTTGCCCTGCATTCAGGTACAGATGGAAATAGAGAAGAAAACAGTAAAAAAAAAAATATTTCCTTTTCCTGAAAAGACAACACGGGGATTTTTCATACAGAATTTTTTCATACAGAATTACCTTTCTGTATGAAAAGTGTTATTCACAATCAAGTACATTTGCTAAATAATAACAGTGCTGAAATCAGGCTATTATTAGCCTCATGTTTTGAAATGCAGGAAGTGTCAAGTGTGAGTCAGTTGGTTTCCATCGAGTTAACGGAATTTTGCTCTGACATTACATGCAAATAAATGTTAAAGGGATACTTCATCTTTGGAAAGATGAATGTGTATTTAAAATGGATCATTTATGTAGAATAAATGTGAAATTATTTTTGAATTTGGAGCTTTCCAGACTGAGAAAACCAATCGCGTTCATGTAAACACTACATTCAGATTCACCAATCAGAATGAATTCAGTTCGATTGAAACAAAAGCTGTGCATTTAAACAATGAATGGCAACTGCAGAAAGCAAAAGCTGAATCCGGACATCGACGGCCGGACATGTCCGTGGAAAAGAGGATGGTAACCCCTAAAGTTACTACTCAGCTTTCTCCACAGAACACAAGAGCCTACTAGCTTAGCTTCCAAAAAAAGATGGCTGACACTACGTGTCCATTCTGTTATTGAGATCCCACCCTCTATGGGCAGGTTGAGAACATGCGAGACAGCCCAAACTACTGACTGTAGTCTTTAGCCTCCGGCCAAAAAAAATGCAAAATGACGATCTGAGGATTTTTCCAGACAAAAAAAAAATACATAAATCTCTCGCATCAGGGGGATATGAGTATGGAAAGCACGGTAATTCGAAAATACTACAGGTTTTCTGCTAATACAAAGCTTAATGCTAAATCCTGAAGTATCCCTTTAAGAAAAAAACATTTGGACACACTTCAGATTAGAGTCCAATTCTCACCATTAACTAACAATCACCTACGACTTTTGCCTCAATAAATTTTATTACTGCAAGTAAGGTAGTTAAGTTTAGGTATTGGGTAGGATATGGTCATGCAGAATGATACATTAATAAGTCCTTTACAAGTACTAATAAACAATACCCTAGTAATATGCATGCTTATAAGCAACTAGTTAATAGTTAGAATTGGACCCTAAACTAAAGTGTTACCAAGCATTTTATTAAAGTCAAATCACATCAATATCTGTATCAGCACTGGGTCTCTCAATTCATATTTTGCACTGCATTTCATTCAGAAGAAAAATAGACATGTGATGGCCCACATCAGGCAGATGCTAAGCAACCATGTCATGTGAGATAATTACCTAGCAACAGCTCCACCCCTTTTTCCAGCAGCACCTGCTTGGCCTGTTTTTTCACACTAGGCAATAGTTCAGGATCAGCCACCTCCTCACGAGAGTGAATCAGAATCACCTAGATGAAATATGGTAACGGTTATCGTTATAGCACAAAACCAGTTTAAAGTGCCCAAATCATGCTTTTTCGAATATAAGCTTTCCTGCAGTGTGTAATATAGCTGTTAAAGGCCTGCAGAGTTTTAAAGATCAAAGTGCACGACAAATAAAGCTGTCTCCTAAAAGAATCAATTGCTGAAACGAGTCGTCAGACTGGAGGAGTTTGGTGTATCAAGCGTGAGGAAGTTCCAGAGCTGAAATATGGTAATGGCGCTGCTTTGTTTCCGTCACATGTTTTAACTGGTATAGATCAATCACATTAGACTGGGACATCTTACCAATCAGAGCAGAGTAGGCTCTCATGAGGGGTTTAGAGAGACTGAATCTTTAAACAAACAGTTTTTAGACTTTTGAGAAATGAGGCGATGTGCAAACTAACATTATGAGAAAATTAAAGTGTTTTTTGACCTTGGACGCATGCAAGCCTATTGTAGGAGACCTCCAAAAAAATGCAGGAAACTTTAAAATAGCATAATAGGGGCACTTTAAGCTCGTGCTTCAGATTAAGATTGCAAAGTATGTTTGGGTGAGAAGTCAAAGCTCTACTTTCTTGTCAGGAAATTCTGTCCTGATCTCAGCTGCCATTTCAACACCGGTGGTTCCGCCACCAACTACAACAACTGAGTTTGCTGACTGGATCTGTAATATTGGAAGAAAATGAAAATGAATCAAAGTTTTCAAAATTTAGTCTGTAAGGCCATTTAAGATTATATCACATATATAAACATGCCCACTAAGAAAACTCACCAATTTGACAAAGTCCTCATACTTCTGAATGGCTGATTGGTAGGAGTCCACCGAATTATGTTTGCCTGGGAAATCTCCGCTGGTTCCAGTGCATAGAATGAGGTGTGAATACCGTACTTCCTGTGGATTTATATGGACACATACTGTATAAAGACATTTTCTCATACTTTGTTTTCGCCTGCTGTAACATTGCAATATCACTTACCTTTCCATTGTCAAGCACAACTATCTGCGTTTCGGTGTCTATACGTTTGACGCGGCCTTGGAGGAAATTCACTCCAAATGTCTCTTTGTATGGTATGAAAGTCTGCTTCGCAAAACCTACAATAACACACAATTATTTTTTTTATTATTTTTTATTTATTTTATTAATCTTGCTGTTTGTTTTCTTGCATCTTGACTTTTGCATACCAGGTTGAACTGAGGCACGCAGCGCTGCAACGTTGTGATGAAACGCATCAAGGATGTCAATAAGCATGAAGGGCACCCCATGACTCTTAAGGTGTTGAGCAGCGGCAATGCCACCAAAACCACCACCGACAATCACCACATGAACAGTCTCGTCAATGGACACCTGCCCACCCATGATGCTTTACTACTGAGGAGAGAGAAAAACTATGATAATGTTTCAAATTAAAATAAATTCTGTTTGATTCTTTATATTTACAGTATATGTACACTACACACTTCCCTTAAAAGGTTTTTTTTTAAGTCTTCAGTGTCACATGATCATTCAGAAATCATTCGAATATTGTGATCTGCTCCTCAGGATAATATTTCTTATTATCAATGTTCAAAACAGTTGTACCGCTTGTAGCATTATACATTTTGTTACAGTCACCTTTGACCAATTTCATGCATCATCGCTTAATAAATAGTGCTAGTTTCTTAGAAAAAAATCTTACAGACCTTAAACTTTTGAACAGCAGTGCACACACACACACACACAGTCATATATATATATATATATATATATATATATATATATATATACATACATACATACATATCTGTGTGTGTGTGAGAGTGTAAACTGCTGTTAAAAAGTCTGCTAATATATATATATATATATATATATATAGTGGAGTTTTTGTGTATGTTCTGTTTTTATTTGTTGATATACATATATCTATTTGTTTATTTATATATAACATATATATTTATATTATTTAATAAAATGTCATATAAATTTGTACAGTGTACACTGTTGTTAGAAAGTCTGCTTGTGTGTGTGACAGTTGAATTTTTGTGTATGTTTTGTTAGATATATTTGTTTCAAGTTTCAAGTTTGTGTTTATTTATATAGCACATTTAAAAACAGCAAACAAGGCTGACCAAAGTGCTGAACAATACACATGATGAAGAGAAAAAAGAAAAGACAGAAAATACAAGGACAAACCAAACATTCATAACAAAAACTCACAATGAGCTAAAAGCTAAAGAAAAAAAATATGTTTTAAGAGAGGATTTAAAAACAGTTAAAGATTGAGAAGCTCTGATATAAACTGGAAGGCTGTTCCAGAGCCTAGGGCCAGCAACAGCGAAGGCTCTGTCCCCTCTGTTCTTTAGCCGTGATCGGGGGACAGACAGTAGACTCTGATCACCAGACCTCAGGGATCGTGTGGGGTTGTGTGGGCAGAGTAGCTCAGACAGATAGCTTGGTGCAAAGTTATTTACAGATTTAAAAACAAATAAAAGAATTTTATACTCGATTCTAAAATGCACAGGTAGCCAGTGTAGAGATTTTAAGATAGGTGAAACATGATCAAATTTGCGTTTTCTTTTGAGGAACTTTGCAGCAGCATTCTGAGCTAGTTGGAGACGAGCAATAAAGTGTTTGGGTATGCCAAAGTAGAGAGAATTGCAATAATCCAACCGTGATGTAATGAGCGCATGAATGGCAATCTCTAGTGTTTTCTCAGAAAGGGAAGATTTAATTTTAGAGAGAAGGCGTAACTGAAAAAAGCAAGCACTAATCACCGTATTGATTTGTTTTTCAAATTTGAGGTTTGGATCCCAGAGAACGCCAAGGTTCTTGATGCAAGATGACTTTGGATCAAGATAGTTCAGATCAATGTTGCTGCTATCATAGTTGTCATGGGGGCCAAAGACTATAACCTCGGTCTTGGATTCATTCAGGAACAAAAAATTTTGAGAAAACCACATTTTTACTTCCTCTAGGCATGCAAAAAGAGATTTTAGAGCAGTCTCTTTGTTGCGTTTCAGAGGTAAAAATAAATTTGTGTATCATCTGCATAGCAGTGAAATAATACACCATGCTTTCTGAAAATGGAGCCAAGAGGAAGCAAATAAATGGAAAAAAGAATGGGTGCGAGGATAGACCCCTGCGGCACTCCACAGGAGAGTTGGGCTGGTGAGGAAGAATAATTACCCAGTTTGACGGAGAAAGTTCTATTTGTTAGATAAGATCTAAACCAGCTGAGGACAGTTCCCTGGATGCCCACAGAGGACTCCAGTCGGGACAGCAAAGTTTTATGATCAACTGTATCAAAGGCCGAGGTTAAGTCTAGCAGTATTAGGATCACAGAGTCACCAGCATCAGTTGCTAACAGAATATCATTAGAAACCCTTAAAAGAGCAGACTCTGTGCTGTGCAGAGGCTTAAAACCAGACTGGAAAGTTTCAAGAATTTGATTTGTGCTAAGATGAGATTGGAGTTGATTGAATACCGTTTTCTCCAGTACTTTTGTAATAAAAGGAAGGGTCGAAATAGGTCGAAAATTATTGAAATCCCTAACATCGAGTGAAGGTTTCTTGAGGAGAGGTGTAACGGTCGCTTGTTTTAGTGTATCAGGGATAGTCCCTGTGCTCAAGAATTTATTCATCAGAGACACCAAACATGTACCAACCGAATCAAAAGTTTGTTTCAAGATACGAGGAGAAAGAACATCAAGAGAGCAGAAGGAAGGTTTCAAATGGACAACAATTTCTCTGAGAGATAGAAGAGAAACAGGTTCAAAGACACTCCAAATGGGTGAAGAACAGTCCAGTTCAGGCAGGACATTAGCAGATGATTGCAACTGGGATCTGAGAGAAGTGATCTTCTCACAGAAAAACCTTGAGAAACCTTCACATAATGATACTGAAGGATTTGAAATCACAGTTATAGGAGGATTGAGAGCAGACTTTGTGAATTTTTACATTACATAATATATGTTTATATTATTTGTGAATATATTTATATGACATATTTTGTTAAATAATTTTCAGTTGATTTTCTGAAAAGGTTTCAAAGACATATTTTCAACGTTATTTGTTCAATTAGGCTATATTACCCATCATCAGTAGTTTACATTCTCAAAAGCTCAAACGACTTAAATTCAGGTATGTGCAGATGCTTTCCATTTTATATGAGATTTACCTGTTTTAAAACTTAACCAAAATGCATGGTTCCACATGCTATCATTAAGAAATAACTGATAATGCAAAGTGGTCCGCAACATCGATATATTCGTATAATAAGCTTTGCCTGCGACTAAGCGCTATAAAAAAAAACCTAAAAAACAAATCTTTGCATGCAACGTAAATATCTTTTGTAAGCAGAACTTGCAATTCTTACCGGTATTTGATGTGTGGAGGTTTGTGAAGGCTCTGTCTGTATTCTCTTCTTTCACACGGAAACGTCTTCAACTATTCCTACTTATACAGCTGTATTGTATCCAATGGTAGCGCTTGTAGCAATGCGGTGGGCGGGTTTTTTTCTGATTGCGTTGTATCATAGCCAATGGTTATCCGTCTATGTGGTTATCGTGTTATGGGAGTGTCTGTTTTTGCGGATATGTTGCACGTATTGTATAGTTGATGATGGCTGAAGCTTTTTTTTTTTGCGTGGGTCCGTTACATTCTGACAACATTTAAAACAGATAGCAGATCATGTTTTAACCGAAGTGTTATCGGAATGCTATCATTGTCACTTTTACTCACGGATGACTCAAAACACTTCATATAGGCTACGAGTGAAAGGTCACCAGTCTGTCTAGCTGAGTCACGATGATAAGAAGCACGGATTTTTCTTTGCCTAAACTTTTTACTTCGATTTCGAAGGGCCAAAAAACTTGATTGAAGGCTGTGGGATTAAAGTATACTTTGCATTACATCCAACCATATTAAAACGTAGCCTACGTTTAAAGGAAATTTTATTTAGCCCATTTTTCTACACATTTGAAAGCAAAAATTAAACAAACCATCACGAGTCACCTTTGGCCCACTGCCACTAAAATGAACAACGGTGACGTGTGACTTTCTTGTCCAAGACGTAGGCTACATTAATAATTAATAATAATAATAGGGATAATATTATGCCAGAAAATAATTCCTAATGTGTTTACGTATAACCGTTAAATGATTAAAATATATCTTTGCAAGATTTCTTGGAGCACTTACAACAGCAGGTGATGTTAAATATAAACTATTGTCATCAATAGTCTGTCATTACGAGTTATTACTATGTTGTTGCAAACCTTTTTTGTAAAATACAAAAGCAGATGACAACCTCTCAGTCGCCATTCATTTTAGCGCATTTTTGACCAAGTGAAGGGCCAAGTGACTGAGGCTGTCCTTTGTGTTGCACTGAACAACAAGTTTTGTTTGGAACAGTATAATAAAAAGTTTAAGTATTTAAAAAAAAAATTTTTGTTTATAATTTACTCACCCTCAAGATGTGCCAAATCTGCATGTTTCTTTTTTTCCTGCTGAACATTCTTCTAAATATCTTAATTTGTTTTCAACAGAAGAAAGAAACTCACACAGGTTTGGAGCAACATTGTTCCATGTTTCTGCCGACGGGTGGCGCTCTAATAAAGCCGTGTGTGCGTGCCGTGGACCCTCAAAATCCTAGAATTAAATGACCCGTGAAGATTAGAATTATGTAAACAATGGTTTATTTTTTATGTAAACGTGCATTTGATAAATTAATCTACCCACTTAAAGCAACTATTAAAAAACAAAGTGCTAAACTTTATTTATTTTTACAGTAGTAGACACAATATAATGCAAATATCAGAATGCAATGCCAACACAGCAATGGACGATATAACCAGAGAAAGTCTAATTTGGGGCTTATTTGATATAACTATAACGATAAAAAAAAATCCAAAAATCATTATAAAAATAGAAAAGTTCGCACCAAAACTATTAAGATAAAATCACTTTCAGAACGATAAATAAATAAATAAATAAATAAATAATAAAAACATTAACAGCCAGTCAGAATCCACCCTGCTTTAAAGAGCTCGAGCATTTAAAGCGACAGACGACAAATCTGCAGCTTATAATAAACAGACCGTTATCGTTGGTGTGCTCACTAATACAGTTATTGTTCTTGAAGTGAACGGGCCTTTAGTCTCTGGGGATTCATTTGGGGGTCGTGTTTGCATGCATGATCTCTTTTCTCGTCCCATTGGAGTCCACCGCCTGACCAGCAGGGGCTGCAGAAAGGAGCATCTCTGAAGGCGCAGGAGTACGGTACCTCCCCGCACTAGCGCTGCTGCTCTCCGGCGGATGAGCGCGGTTGTCTGTCCGGCGACAGCGTGCTTCTACCCGGGACACTTTTCTTGGATGCGTTACTTATGTCTATTTCAAAGAGAAAAGCCTCTTTTCGTCTTTGGTCGTTCACTTTATGAGCACATGTTTTAAGACGCAACTGTGACTGATGCTGGACATAAAGTGATTTTTACGGGAACGGAGTCGGTGTGAGGTTACAACGGTAAGATGGTTTGAATTTCACCGATGTCACATTAACGTATTTTTTTATTAAGTGATGGCCTGCGCGTCTATAACGAGTCACGAGGACTTTGAAAATGAATATTTACTATGGAAAGTAGTAAGTTAGGCGGCTACTGTAAACGAGAATACTTTCCTTTTGTTTTACATTAGTCTTGTCCTCGTTGGCTCGTTCCCATGGTGAATGTATACCAACCCGCGTGCTGCATTGTGGGATACCTGCAGCAGGCTTCAGGGTTAAAATTCTCCAGTGTAGTACGTTAAAACAAATTGTCTGTTTAAAAAACTGATTTAATTATGTTTGTGTAAAAAGGTAACTTGGAAATAGAATCTAAATAACGTTACCCTATCTTGATTTGACTTTCGGAGTGTTTATGATTCTGAGGGGGTTTCCATTCAGTCAGTCAGTGCTATATTCAATGTGTTAAAGTAGTTTTTTTAAGCATGAGATATTTTAAGTCTAAACGATACTTGTCTCTGGCCTCCACTATTATCTGAAGTCACTTGAGACTACTGATAAATAATATCTTACTGGCTAAAACACTAAAGTGTTTTTTTTACTGTGTGTGGAGTGAACAGTGGCTTAAACACCTTAAACAATCAGACCAACAGGATAACAGAAGAAACAACAAAATGGTTTTAAAGTATAAAGCCTAGCCTATGGGTTGTTTATATGGTAAATTAGGCTTCAGAAATGTTCTACAAAATGTAAACTTTCAAAATATCACTGTATAGCATAGTTTCTCCTGTTATTCTTGTGATGGCAAAGCTAAATTTTATGCAGCCATTACTCCACTTAAAAAATAAACAAATGGTCAAATCTTACTGTATCCAAGCTTTTGGAAGATTATATTTGTGCAGAATATATTTCTTTGTGCCTAAATTAGCATGCATCATCAACTCGATTGCCTAGATAAGATTGTCAGATCAATAAAGTTCATGAATTCAATCAATTACACTTTCTATGATAGAGAGTGGTGCTCATACATCAGGCTGCAGTAATGAGGAATTGATCACTAGCCTTGTTTATCACTTTTAAAGGTCATCTTTTACTCACCCTCATGTTGTTCCAAACCTGTAAGACTTCCGTTCATCTTCGAACCACAAATGAAGAAATTTGTTTATCAAATCTAAGAGCTTTCTGTCCCTCCATTTCTGTCCCTCCAACTTTTTGAAGCGTTAAAGTTGTAGTTGGGCAGACTGTCAATGGAGGGACAGAAAGCTCATAGATTTGTTAAAAAAGATCTTCATTTGTGGTTCGAAGATGAACGGAAGTCTTACAGGTTTGGAACAACATGAGGGTGAGTAAATGATTACAGAATTTGACATTTTTCATTTAATTTCATTAAATTTTTCTACATTCATGTCCCAGACTTTGCTGGCGGTGCAGTATGTGGTGGGATGGATGAGGAGGAGCAGAACCGCTATGTGGCCCAGTTGAAGGCAGAGTTTGACAGCTGTGACACCACCGGGACAGGTTACCTCGACAAAGAGGAGCTTACTGCCTTATGCCACAAGCTGAGCTTAGATGCTCATCTCCCCTTGCTGCTGGACACTCTGCTAGGACCACAAAATTATGCCAGGGTAAAAATTTCCCCACGATCATCCCAGTGTCTCTAATCCTAATGCTGTATTATGTTAAAATAATCTCTTTTTACAGGTACATTTTGAGGAGTTCAAAGAGGGCTTTGTGGCTGTGCTGTCAAGGTCTTTGGACTTCAGTACTTCAGAGGAGGAGAGCAGCTATCTTGAGCCAGGTACTCTAGTGGAAAGTGACCTTTATATACCTCCATGGTTATCAAAACTTTTAGGCCGGTTAATCTTCATGATTTTCTGTATTAGTCAGTCACGACCTTGTGTACTCAATGTTTATTAATGGTACATGATGTGTAGTTGATATAATATCTGGACCCAGAGGAACTGAAGCATTGTGTTTTTTGTTAATTTAGGGATGCACGATATACCGGCCAGCATATCGGTATCGGCCGATATATGTTCATTTTTAATGTTATCGTTATCGGCCTGGTAAGAAAATATGGCCGATATATTAAAGCCAATAAATAATGTATTATTCCCTTCAGCTGAGACACTTGTTGAGCACTGTTTATGTTTTTGAATTTCTTGAAATATGATTGAAATCTCTTCAAAAAATGAAAATATGGTTCGGTACAACATGTGCAGCTCAAATCTGTCATATCGGCTATACAACACTATAATGAGAACATCATTATAATCGTGCTCTTGGGACATGGATTTAATTGTGAGACTTTTGTTTTTGGAATCAGGCTTTCAAAATTAGATACAAATTTGGATTTATATTTATCGGCCGATATATCGGTCATCAAATATAAAGAATTATTGGTTATCGGTATCGGCCAAAATTTTCATATCGGTGCATCCCTAGTCTAAATGCTCATTTTTATTTGTTAATGAATAGCAGGGTATATTTATGGTTAGTTACACAGTTTTTGATATTTTCTTATGTTCACCAAGGCTGCATTTATTTGACCAAAACGACAGTAAAAAAATAATAATAATATTGTGAATTAATATTACAATTTAAAGTAACTGCTTTCTTTTTAAATGTATTTTAAAATTTAATTTATTCCTGTGATGCAAAGCTGAATTTTCAGCATCATTACTCCAGTCTTCAGTGTCACATGATCCTTCAGAAATCATCATAGTATGCTGGTTTGCTGCTCAAGAAACATGTTAAAAACATTTTTGCTGATTATTATTTTTACTTAATCAACTTTAAATTTATTTGGTTTAAATACATTGTTTTTAGGACCAAATTATTATTGGCATTCACAATGATACCACATCATACCTTGAGGTACCTGGCATTTGATTGCTATGGCCCCTTTCACTGGAGGCATAATAATATGTTATACAGATGCTGCAACTTTTTGTGCAGGTCTTCT